TTCCTGTTGCTCACTCTCTCCTTTTTCAGCTTGGCTAACTAATTGCTGTCCTGTGCTCCATTCCACACAATGCCTCTCGTGGCATGTGGCAAGTGAAAGTGAATTCCTTGGTGGAATTAAAATTGTAATTATGCTGTTCACTGTAAACAGTACAGCCTGTATAAAACACTGGGGCTTGCAGATTTCAGTGATATTTTGTTTCAGAAGGTCATTGCAGTGGCTTTTAGGACCATCCTTCTAGCTGAACATGGAGATATTACATGACCATTATTAATGTCAACACTCCACTCTTCCCCCATGTCTGAAAGAACTGTGTAATTTTGGGTAAATTTGCTCCTATCCTTCGTCTTAGTTGCTTCATTATTGCTGAGCCAATGTTGGTCACAAATGAGCTCGATTCCCACTTCTCAACCAATTCTCATGTCTCTTTCCTTAACCATAAGATGCATATTGAATTTTGCCCCCTGGGCTCTAACACTTGCCTTTAGCTTCTCTAAAGGCACTTCACTTAATCCTTTCTGAATTTCAGTTTGCCAATCCACATTGGCAGGCTTGGATGGCGTACACTTTGAGGTGCTCCTCCATCCTCCTTTGTGTATCTCGGTTTTTGATGCTTGTTTTTAACTGAATTAGGAAGTCTGCATCTGTCCCCCATAGCCCCAACCTCGAGGCGGTTAATCTTTCCTTTTAAGAATTTGGTACACAAGATACCTCCCCTACAGATTTTTGTCCCATTCCTGTGACAAGTTGCATTTGTGAGCTTTTTGAATGCATGGTTAACGTCGTATGTGGATTTTAGAACATTATTATTACCTTTCTCCCTCTCAATTTGGCTTTTGGAAGTGTTACAGTACAACAACTTTCTATAGGATTTAGAAGTTCATGTTCAAAGAGTACTGCCTCTACTGTACTACGAATGCCTTGGTAGTAACCATTCTTTTTGACCTAGAACAGGCTTATGACACTCCTGAGATAAAACATTTTAACCCGACTTCATTCTTTGGTCCTTTTATCACTTTCTGCCACTTTTTCCTTCAGAGCTTCCTCTACGCACATATTGAAGCTATGGTTCAGTATTACTTTTTCTACCCCTTTTTGAAAGTATAAGGGTGTAGTCTTTTATTATAATTCTTTTTCCTAGTTGCCCCAGAAGGTCTCCGCCAACTTTCTTCTTTATGGGGTCTTATCACTTTGTGAACAATCTTTCTATCTGCTGTCATGGTGACGATTTCTCCCTCGTGCAGCTATGACTCCAATTTTTCAATTGATAACATGTTATCTTGGACTACCAGTAATGGCTTCAAGTCCTCCACTGCTAAGACTTGTGCGATAATGTTTTCTAGGAAGTAAGTCATTTGCTGCCTGTCCTTATCACTTTGAGAATCTCCTTGTGTATTGGGATAAAGCTAAAATCTTTGGGTTAATCTTTGACACTTGCTTGTCTTGCCCCCCCCCCCCCCTATGTCACATCCATCGACTTGAATCCTCCCTCTGAGGCCTTTAACTTGTTTAAAGTATTGTTCCGTACTTCCTGAGGGGTTGATAGGTACATCTCATCTATATGCATGCAGCTATCTAAACTGCGTGTCCTATTTAATCTGGACTATGGCTGCCCAGCATTTTCCTCAGTTTTGCCTTCCACCCTTTGTCATCTTGATGCTTTGCATCATACAGGGTTTCTCCTTGGCTATGGTGCCTTTCATTTATCACTGTCTAGAGCTCGTGTGTTATCACCAGTGTTTCATCAATATAGGATCATCACAATTGTATTGCCTTTTGGTACCTTGCAGGGTTCTTTCAACACCCTCCATTCCCATTTACAGTGTGCTTTGACTACCTTCTGGTGGGTCCTTATCCCTCTTCCTTCCATTCTTTAACTGAAAAGGTAGCCAGTTTACAGGATTCTCTTTCGGTGCATGTCTAATGTTTTTCCTTATGTCCTTGCTCCCATGGAGGGGAGTGAAATTTTGTGAAATTTTGCAAAGTCCTGATGCACATTGTGAAGGCTTGTACCTTTCCTACTGTTATAAAGTGCCTTTTCCTTGAATATTTTTCCTGCTGTTCACATGCACATGGATCTAGAAGTTTTATTCACAGATGGGTCAAAGTTTGATGATGTTGACTACTCTATTGTTTTATTCCTGATCAAACATGTGCTTCTTTGCTATGGAGGCTAGCATTTTCATGGTGGAGCTCCTATCTCCACAGAATTCCTTCATTTGTTATGCTCTCCACCAGCTGTTTTTGATGCACCAATGTTTTATTATTGCAGCCAACTCGCAGTGCCCTCGTGGCTTGAGTGGCATTTAACCCTCTCTCATCCTGTGATTGAAATTTGGTACAGGCAGTATATTGTCTTTAGCAAATTTTTGCCAGTTGAATTTTGCTGGGTACCCAGTCATGTTGGTGCTACCTCTAATAAACTTGTAGATTCCTTCTAGGGAGGCCATTCATGCCTGTCCTATTTTCCAGAGATTCCTTTATCAGAATTCTACCCAGTCATTCATAATACAATCTGCACTTGTTGGCTAGATAGTTTGTTGGAAATGTCAGATAACAAAGTGTGTACTATTAAATATGGCCTTTTCCCCTGCCATCATAACAGGCAATTGGAACCATTTCTGGCTAGTGTGTGTACCTGCCACACAACATATGGATACCCGAAGGAACAATGCCCTGCTCCTTATTGTCCAAACCGCATTGTCCTGCTTATAGTTGTGCATCTCGTAGAATGGCCTGATTTTCAGGATGATTGTAGCCTTGCTTTCCTAATGACCCTTGGAAAAACTTGTCGCTTGATAAGATCTTGGTGAATCCAGTACCTTGGGCATAGCGCGTCTTGCGTTTTTCTGCTCTAGTATTGGCATACTGAGTAATAATAGAGCCTTTTGGATATCCCGCAACCCATACATTGCCAAATAGTTTTCCCGGCTTGGTGCCATCTACTGTATTTTATAATTAATGTATCATGACCCCATTTTCCTGTTTTTCACTTGTCGTGTTGAGGCGATACATAACCTGATAAAATAAGGGAGAATAATCAGATGGAATTACTGAGATTATATGAATGACCAGGCCATTATGAGCCTAAGCTAATGGCAAAATAAAGGAGTTTGTTAAGGAACAGAAAAGAAATGCTGAGGAATATATTGGAGCAGTTAGAAGCTCTAGTTTGTGGAGCAATTGTGCAGCAGGAAATAGACTATTGAGAAGGTTTTCAGAGCATGAAAGGGGAAATGCAAAGGAGAAAGGAGATACAATAAATTAAATAAATACAGAATTTAAAAGAAAAGATTATAGGTTACCATAGGGAGGTGGCAGAACTTTATTGATGCATTGACTATGTGAGATGTACAGAGAATTATTATAATTGTATATTTTTGACATTCAGATATACCATTTTATGATAAAAGTAGTGCTGTACCTTAGTGTTTTTTGTTTTTGCACACAGTTTATAATCGGTGCAATCTAATAAGTATAAATATAAATTTGCATATTTGGATAGACTTGATAATTTAAAACTGTGGACTATTGGTTAAGAATGTCCAATTTTGGGAACTAAAAAATGTAATATTTATACCTTTATAATAAAGCCCTACACATATTATGTACATACACATAGTCACATGTACTCTATGCTGGGGAGTGGTACTACTTACATATAACATTTTCCCTGGAATCAAACTAGAGAAGTTGCTGTTGTTAAAGTACAGTCTTGAGAATTCAACAAAGACTTTAGCATGTAATATTTAATTTTTGTACATAAAAGTTAAATAACAAAATGTTATTATATGGCAATGGTTAGATGTCAAATGTTTACCCAGAAGCTTCTGACAGTACATTTAGTTTAAGAGTTCTACAAACGAAGCCCATCCAGGACCACCCTGCCATTCCAGGATTATTGTAATGATAAGGTAAGTTTTATAACTTAATAAAAAGTGTCAGTAATTTGTGGTAGACAAAGTAGTTGATCCTTTTGCTTATTTGCATGGCTGCTTGCATGTGCTTTACTGCTGCTTCTGTCGGACTAAGAGCTCTAGGATGGACTTAGCGTTCCGTGTACTTGTCTTGCGGGCTTGTGCTTTGTCCATTCCCCAATTTTTCAGCCCTTTCAGCAACAGATAGGGAAAGCAATGGTAAAGTTACTTACTGTTAAACAAAAAACTAGATTATGATGTTGCATCCTGTTAGAACAAGATAAAAGCAACCTTTTGGGGGTCTTCATTATTTTTCACGTTACTTTCGCCTATTTAAAAGGTAGCGCTACTATTCTCTAAAAAAAAAAAAAAAAAAAAAAAAAAAATCAGTGCCTTCCAGGATAGTCGGTGGATGTGGCAGAATGGTTTCTTAATCTTTATTGAGCCTAAACATTTGTGGTTCACTCTGGACATGTCACTATGAGGGAGTAGTGATAGCGATTTATCCAGATTTACTCCATTACCTAATTGATGGGTAGTGAGCCCTGGTCTGCTATTCCATCTCTGGGATTATTATGTGCTTTGTCTTCTGCTGCCGCCACAGGATGTGATGCTACAGCATATAACTTATCAAGGTGCTAGTTACCTGGGGCATCACCGATGGACACAGCACTTTATAATTCACGTGATGATTACTGACTGTGATGGAGTAGATTGTTTTTAAATTAGCTCCAAAATGAGGATTTCATATTTGGAAGAGTGAATTCCTGCCATATTGAAGACTACTCAGGCTCTCAACTATTGGTCGGTCACAGAAGCATCCTTATCCCCCAATAGGTAGTTTTAAAGCACTAGTAATTATTCGAATGCTTAGAATGTTCACCCATGGTCTGAAAGGGTTGGAGAAAGGGACTTAAACGTTCACATATGCGTTCATGAATACAAAGATATTTCTATTAACTACTTGAGAGAAAGTTCTCGCCCTCCCCCTTTGTTGGGGTATGGTGCCAGAGAGAAAGAAAGAGATGCAAGGCCCATACAAGAGGCAGTGTATTCTAGTCCCTTTCTTCTTCCCTGTTGCAGATCGATAGAACGCGCGATGGGTGAAAAAAAGGACCAAATCAGGCGGCTTGATGAAGAGATAAATCGAGATGGGGAACGGAACAAAGAATTAGAGAAACGATTACAGGTTGGTATTTTCCTGTAGTAATGCCAGGGATGAGATACCTTGGTATTTGGCCAGTGGTGTCTTGTGCATGCTTTTAGCAGTTTTGGGTATGAAGTCCCAGGCTTTGGTGTATGTATGTTAGGTTTATTACTCAAGTCACATTATGTGATGTGGAGCATTTGAAGTATTTTAAGGCAAACTTTGATTTGTATAAAAACTAATTTATACAAACTTATATTTTGATATAGGTTCAAAGTTTGTCAGTTTTTAGTCTAGTCAATATTTGATTGTTGGCCTTAAACCAGTACAAGTCACGTGGTCTTTCACTGGATTTTTGAGGTAAGTGGTATCCTACTTTTGAGTGGTTTGCATAATCAGGTTGGTACATTTGTAGTTAGTGCACAGGCAATTCGTTTATATTGAGTTGTTTACAGTGAATAGACATGAACATTTAATTAGCGATCTGGTGTACATATAAACCTATGCTTGAGAAAGCCTTAATTTCTGCTTCCTTCCATTACGTTTCGCTGAATTTCATGTTGGGCCTTTAGAATGTGAATTTTTATGATAAACCTGGTGTCTGCTTGAATAGTCTCCACGTTGCTACTGGTATATTCTTTACATATTACTTTTCAAATGCTTACAGAGAAATTATGCATTTTCATATTATGCTGTATGTGTGTGTGTGTGTGCGCGCTCACCTGTCCGCACACAAGCGTGAAAGTGCATGCGTGGGGGCAAGAAACACCACAAAAAATTGAAACGAGCCGAGTCCTTTCTTTCCTATATTGGATGTGACTGACATCACTTAGAGAGAAGAAGGCACCAAGTTCGTTTAATTTTATCTTTTGTGGTGTTTATTTGCATTAATAGTCAAGTCATGTGACATCCTGCTTTATACAGTATTTTATATATATATATATATAATATATATATGATATATATGATATATATATTAGGAGCACCACCTCTGGTGCAATTGTAGTGATCCATAGCCTCAGAGAAGAGAATATAGATTATTCAGAGGAGACCTTGTGGATTCTCACTGAACACTTTAATATTTTTTTCTCCTACCATCCCTAAATAAATAAATATATATATATAATATATATATATATATATATATATATATATATATATATATATATATATATATATATATATATATATATATATATATATATATATATATATATAATTTATATATAATATAATTATATATAATAAAATATTTTATTTCTTGCATGTTTGCTTTTGAATTTAGCTTCAAGACAGGACAAGTGCATGAATAAATTGACTAATATCTTCTGTTAACCAGGCCTGCTATACTAGGAAGTATGAGTATCATCCTTGTAAACCCAGACCTTAGTTGTGTCATCCACAACTTGACCTCTTTTTGTTCCTACCTGCCTGTCCAGTTTATTATCCAGATTTTCACTGCTCACCAATGAACACAATACACAAGACACTCATATCTGCCATTATCATTGCTCATCAGTACTAGTATTGTAGGGGAAAATCATGACCCTGTTACATCATCATTAACATTGAGGTATTTGTCTCCTTATTGTCCTTCCCCCTCCCCTCCCTCTTCCATCCTCCTGCTCAGGTCTCTCACCAAAGCCGTCAAGTCGAAGCAGGATCAAATTCAGCGGCTGGAAGATGAAATTATACGCGATACTGACCGCAGGGCCCATCTTGATAAGAAAGTCGAGGTAGGAACTGCATGATTATATGTGGCAAACTCCAGCTGTTGAGCCTAAAATGAAGAAAGTATAGTCTGGGAAGTGTAAAATATTAGGTTATAGCTGGCATAGTATTGTAAGGTACAATGTCAAGATTTGAAATGCACAGTGGCAGTGATACACTAATTGTTCATATTAAGGATGTTAAGTAGTTTAATAAAGAATCATGCTGGTTATTATTCAGTATAAGATTAGAAAAGGTTTATTTAACATTTAAATTGTATATCCATCAAACTTTAGATCAGTGGTTGTACAATATTTCATTTGAAAAGGTTTTGTTTATCCCACTAAACATTATGAAGAATGCACACTTAAATAATCTAGGGGAAAGTTGAGAGAACTGTACAGTATTGAAAGTTTTCACCCAAATTTTTATTTTTGCTGAAAGACTTAATTCAACATTCTGTGCAGTATTGAAGTAAATCAAGATAAAAACTGTGTGATCTGCCAAGACATGTTCATTAAATTAATAACAGTATATTTAATTTGTTGAAAATTTTCATTGATTTGTTTAACCATTACTCTGCTGGTTTGTTTAACCCTTACACTGCTAATTGTATAAGCCTTACACTAATGTTGGTTTAAATCTTTCATTGTTAATTGTTTAACTTATATTAACCCTTACACTGCTGATTGTTTAACTTATATTAACCCTTACACTGCTGATTGTTTAACTTATATTAACCCTTACACTGCTGATTGTTTAACTTATATTAACCCTTACACTGCTGATTGTTTAACTTATATTAACCCTTACACTCCTGATTGTTTAACTTATATTAACCCTTACACTGCTGATTGTTTAACTTATATTAACCCTTACACTGCTGATTGTTTAACCCTTACACTACTAATTGTTTAACCCTTACACTGCTGATTGTTTAACTTATATTAACCCTTACACTGCTGATTGTTTAACTTATATTAACCCTTACACTGCTGATTGTTTAACTTATATTAACCCTTACACTCCTGATTGTTTAACTTATATTAACCCTTACACTGCTGATTGTTTAACTTATATTAACCCTTACACTGCTGATTGTTTAACCCTTACACTACTAATTGTTTAACCCTTACACTGCTGATTGTTTAACTTATATTAACCCTTACACTGCTGATTGTTTAACTTATATTAACCCTTACACTGCTGATTGTTTAACCCTTACACTACTAATTGTTTAACCCTTACACTGCTGATTGTTTAACCCTTACACTACTAATTGTTTAACCCTTACACTACTAATTGTTTAACCCTTACACTGCTGATTGTTTAACCCTTACTCTAATGATTGTTTAACCCTTACTCTGATGATTGTTTAACCCTTACTCTAATGATTGTTTAACCCTTACTCTGATGATTGTTTAACCTTTACTCTAATGATTGTTTATCCTTTACACTGCCAATTGTTTAACCCTTACACTACTGATTGTTTAGCCCTTACTCTAATGATTGTTTAACCCTTACTCAAATGATTGTTTAACCCTTACTCAAATGATTGTTTAACCCTTACACTGCTGATTGTTTAACCCTTACACTATTGATACTATAACCTTTATCTTCTGATTGTTTAATTTACGCTACTGATTTTTATCATCCTTACCTTAACCCTTACAGTACTGATTGTTTAACCCTTACACCCTGTGATTGTATAACCCATAAACTGGTAATTGTTTAACCCTTACACTGCCAATTGTTTTACCCTTACATTCCTTCCCGGTTTGATGCCTTCTTTTGATAATTACTTACCCTTACATTAACTCGTACACTGTTGATTGTATAACCCTTACACTGCTGATTTGCTGCCAACTTTATTTGTTTCCCCAACTGTGGAGCGCTTTCCCCTCCCCTCCCCCTTCCCACCTAATGATTGAAAATACATTTGTTTTTAAATGATTATTGATAGTAAACTTTGATGGAAAAAAATTGCAAGTAAGAGTATAATTTCTCCCAAATATCATGTTAGTTGCTGCCTCTGCAATTTTGCCTGGAGGGTTTCCCCTTGTAGAGAACAAATCATATATGCCACTGACTAATCATAACTTTTATGACAAATATGGATCATGATCATGTGTGACAATTTAATGGAAAAGTGATAGACTATTTTCTTACTGAAGGCAGTGTAAGGATTAATCATAAAAATGATGTAATTTTATTATAATTCAGTAGTTGATAAATATTATTTAATTTATACAGGAATTTTCATGAGCTACTGTACAATATTTGGTTTAACTGGGCATGTAGTTAATAAACAAAAAACATGATTATAGTAATTTATATTATAAGGTTAATAATTTAGTGCTGTGTACAGCAAATATAATTTTGTCTAGTAATATCATTGTTGATTGCAAATGTAATATGCTGTTGCAATACAGTATGATATTATTAAGATATTCTCTAACTAATTTTTCTCCTAATGATTTTATGCCTAATATTTAGTACATTTTGTCTTGGGTATCTTGGATAAATTTTCAAAGTTAGTAGTGGTAAAATTGATACTTGAAGAACTGCTACTGATACGAGAGTTGTGAGGCTTAATTGTGGTGGCTGTATGTGCTTGTGTGATTGCACCAAGGGAGACATTGAAGTTGTATGAACAGTTTTAGAGTACAGTACTGTATTTTAAAAGGGGTCATTATGTGATAAATGCAGATAGGAATTTGTTTTGTGCCCATTTTTTAACAATAATAACAAGCTCTGAAATGTTTTGCCCTGAATATGAGAGCACAAATTTACATTATATATCAAAGTGACAGTATGATCATCAGGATCATAAACTGGAGAAGAGTGTGCCAACTAGGGCTTTAAACTCTGAACAGACAGTCTGACTAATAAGCTATGTAGCCATCTAGAGTCATTCCAGAGCCCACTGTAAAAGGAATATGCATGTCAGCCAAATATTTGTATTTTATGGATGTACGGGGGCCTCGTAGCCTGGTGGATAGCGCGCAGGACTCGTAATTCTGTGGCGCGGGTTCGATTCCCGCACGAGGCAGAAACAAATGGGCAAAGTTTCTTTCACCCTGAATGCCCCTGTTACCTAGCAGTAAATAGGTTCCTGGGAGTTAGTCAGCTGTCACGGGCTGCTTCCTGGGGGTGGAGGCCTGGTCGAGGACCGGGCCGCGGGGACACTAAAGCCCCAAAATCATCTCAAGATAACCTCAAGATCTCAAGATAACTTGCCTTGAATGTTAATGAGGGGTTGAAATCCAATTTCTGCTGTCACATAGAATCAGTGTAACTGATACAGTTAGGAACTACAGTAATGAGAACTCCCAATGATAATGATAGTCAGATTACTCAACAGAATTACATTTTTTTTAACAAGCATTTTGGCAAAAAGAAAATCAGTTTGATTAGGACTAAGATGCTCTCTCCATCAAGAAATTTGCAGTGGCATGAAGATAAAAATATGAGAATTGCAATGTTAACAAAGTGAATTGGGGGGGATAGCATGAATTTGTGTAGTAAACATGTGTATTGTTAGAATAGTGTGTTTTCAACAAACACCTCCAAAGAATGCCTGATCAACCAGGCTGTGATTCACATGTCAGGCTGCGAGCAGCTGTATCCAACAGCCTGGTTGACCAGACGACCAACTGGGAGGCCTGGTCAGAGACTGGGCCACAGGGCCATTGATCCCCGGTAGCTACACAAGGTAGTAGGTAGAGTAAGTGTGTTATGAGTATGTAGCGAGAAAGTCGATAAATGGCAGGTTTGAAGTGAGCTTACCTATATAAATTGAAGGTAGTTATTTGATAGAAAGTATTCAGTTGAATTAGTGACTAGGTAAGGTAGATGGGAAGGCTAGGAAGATGATGGATGAACATAGTAAGTACAAGTATGAACAATACAGATTATAGTAAGGGACATGACTGGGTGAGTCAAGTCCCTTACTTGACTTCTGTGGGCAAGATTGTAAAATTAGTGCCAGATAATGGGGAAAAAGTCTTTACTATTATAACTAAACAACTACCTATCCTGTTATAGGCAAGCTACAATCAGAACAGTGGCAACATATACATCAGTTTATAATGTATTACCAACTCTGACAGGTTAAGGCAATTTTTGTTTAGAAATTACTACTGTAGTCGGAGGTTGTGCTGGATTATGCCTTAAACCCACCTTGCTAACACCTAGTGCCCAAACCCTCGCTCAGCGACGACGTTTTGGCAATCTGGCTTCCAAATCGGCATTGTTGATAAAATTAATATAGAGTAATTATTTATGAATATGGAATAAATAACAGTAAGTTAAAAATGAAAAACATTGTAGGTGCTTTTGTTAGATAGTTGAAGCTTGAGAAAGGGAGATTTACCCCTGCCTGCACCCGTTACACCAGCTCAGTCAAAACAGTACAAACAAAAAGAAAAGATATATTTAATTTAAAATATAAGTTTTCAGATAACGTTAAATTTAAAAATGATTATTATAAGCAGAAAAAAGGAGATGTAATAATTTAGAATGCTGAGGGTCAGCTGAAAAAGAGAGTTCTACTTCCCTTGGAAATTAATGATAACAATTGAAAATTAAAAAAAAAAATTGACATTACAGAGTTAAAATGCATATGCTGTATAGATTATATGGAAATTAAGCCATTATAATATGACTAATTTTTGCGAGATATACAGTATGTGCACATTGAAATTTTGACTCTTGTAGATTGGGAAACTTGTGGCTCTGTGCTGCCAAGAGTATCTTGTCTTAAAACGTTTATGTACTGCAGTGTAGTGTAAGGAATAATAGTTACCAATAGTATGGAATTGGTGATGCATGTGTAATACTCAGGACCCGGGGTGTTAGAAAGTTCCTTGACTATTCCCCCTTGAACAAAGTGTCTCCTTTAATCATGAGTCACTATGTTTTTAGTATTTAGGTAAAATTGAAAACAGCAATGTGCTACAGGAAATGTTAGTTCTGTGTTTATATGCGATCCACTACGGATGTTCAGTTTTGTATGTTTTGTGGAGGTATTTGTACTTTTTTTATAACAAAAATGGGATACCTCAAACCACTTGGTAATATCAGACTACTTACTAATAAATTTGGTAATATCAGACCTCTAGTTTGCCAGGTGATGTGTTCAGTAGAATACATTTACTGTGGAATTGAAATGTAATGTGCTGCTCTGAATTTCATTAACTTAGTTTTAATATGCAATCAAATGTAAAAAAAAAAAAAGTTATTTTAACAACACATTTTTATTATTATTTTTCTTTTGTGGCATCCCACCACAACCCCAAAAAAATACAAATCCTTGGGTTTTTTTAAGTGTTTTCAGTGTTGTGTATGATTTGGGTGTATACTGTGAAGGGAAGGAAACTATCAGGAGAAAGCCCCCAGTACTCTGGGGAGGTTTACCAAATAGATATATAAACTTAATTTTAACAGGTATAGTATTCTTATGCTAAAATGTTTGAGGAATATGAACCTTTCAATAATTTATTATTACTTATTACAGGAGCTATCCACAGACACAGAAAACTACAGACAGAGTATTGATGAGCACAACAAAGTTTTTTATGAAATGAAGAAGAGAAAAGACCAGTTACAGAGTGAGAGAAAGTAAGACGCCACGTGACAGCAATGTTATGCACGTGCCTCTGGCTGCTTCCTCCACACTTGCTGCTCGTCTAGCATAAAATGTTCATGGTTCACTGTTTCTTCATTGCTATTTCTACAGATTGCTTTAATTGCTTCAATCTTTTCTTTCTACTGGGTGATGCTTTTTACTGTGACATCTTTAATGTTCATGTGCTTGCTTGGCTGGCCATACATTTTTAGTAATAAATTATTTATTATACTTGGATTTATCTGTATTGGATAGTGATATCTTTTGTACTTTACCCATCCAAGAGGTAAGTTTTGTTGTGTTTTGCACTGCTATTAACTAGTTCATATAATTTTTATATAATTTTCCTTTGAATTTCTCTTTTGTAATAATAGAAATTGTTGAAAAAATTTTTTTGCTTTATTATTACAGTAAGTATATTGTGTGAGTGGCAAGTGTTTTATTGCATGTTGCATGTTAAAGGCTTTAAAGTTGGGAATCATGGTAGCTTCCATGACTTCTGCTTCAAGTGCATTTAATGTGTTAATCACCTACACTGAATATGAGTACAGTATTTCCATATATTTCTCTTGAAGTACATCATCTTTTTTACACATGTGGGAGCAGGAGTAAAAAAAATTCTGACTCGTGTTAGCAGGCTTGAGCTTTCCCATCCCCTAACTGGTGTTAAGCCTTCCCCTCTAGTTTTCCCTGGCACACGAACCACTTTACAACTGATTACTAATTACTCCTTGGTGAATAAGGGAGAACACTCCAGCCTGCACCCGTTACACCCATTACACCAGCCTGCACCCGTTACACCCATTACACTAGCCTTCACCCGTTACACCCATTACACCAGCCTGCACCCGTTACACCCATTACACCAGCCTGCACCCGTTACACCCATTACACCAGCCTGCACCCATTACACCAGCCTGCACCCGTTACACCCATTCATTACACCAGCCTGCACCCATTACACCAGCCTGCACCCGTTACACCCATTACACCAGCCTGCACCCGTTACACCCATTACACCAGCCTGCACCCGTTACACCCATTACACCGGCCTTCACCCGTTACACTAGCCTGCACCCGTTACACTAGCCTGCACCTGTTACACCCATTACACTAGCCTGCACCTGTTACACCCATTACACTAGCCTGCACCTGTTACACCCATTACACTAGCCTGCACCTGTTACACCCATTACACTAGCCTGCACCTGTTACACCCATTACACCAGCCTGCACCCATTACACCAGCCTGCACCCATTACACCAGCCTGCACCCATTGCAACAGCCTGCACCCATTGCAACAGCCTGCACCCATTGCAACAGCCTGCACCCATTGCAACAGCCTGCACTCATTACACCAGCCTGCACCCATTGCAATAGCCAGTCAATCCATGAATATAGGCTTGCCTAAAGATTCCTCACGTAATTGTTCCTCCGCTCCTCTCCCTGTTGTCTGAACTGTTACATAGTTACTCATCAGCTCTTTATTGATCTGAGCCTTGCATATGAAGTTATTTCTCATAATTTTTGTTTTTGTCAAGGATTTGGGATTGTGTAATGATTGAACTTTCTAATTATTGAAAGTTGGCAGAAAAACCTTAGTGTTTTTCAGGGAAAGCTTCTTCCAGTACTGTGAGTGATCTAGTGTGACTTTATATCTCAGACACTTTGCTGTTCTTTAGGAAGTGTCTCATGAGTCGATGGAGCTGTGTCAGCAGGTTAAGAGCAGTGGATCACTTCTTTGTGGCTTGGAGGCCAATAAAGCTAATATCATATTTACAAGAAGGTTTATCATTTATAATTCTTTTACTATGTGACTGTGTCACTTTGTGTAGTAACTGCAGAGTTTTCTTTGGTAATATCAGTTACATTTATTTTGATTTAATTGTTTTAATAATTGAGTTTTCTTTGGTAATATCAGTTACATTTATTTTGATTTAATTGTTTTATGTTTAAAAACAGAACTAAACCTCTCCTAGTTCATAGAAAGGATTTTTATATTCTAAACGTGATTTGTTTTTTTTTCTCTGTGCATACGTACGATTTATTCTTGTGTGATCTTTGGATTTTGTGTCTTGTGGTCAATATATCTTAAATTTGTTGCATCCATGTGTTCAGTAGGCGCTTGCTTCCATGTTGTTTTGTTCAGTAGTTTTGATTACTCCTTCTGTAAGCAATCCTGATTGTAAGGCTGCATGTTAATTGTTAAATGTTGTTTGATCATTTTAAAAGCATGTTATTTTATTTTTGGGAGGGGGGGAGTTCATGGTTAAATTATATACAAGTTGTTTCATGTTAAGTATGATTGACTTACTATATTTTGTTATAAAGTTAATGACTAATGCAAATTGATTACTATAATCTTCAGGTGTTACTGTTTACTTCAAATTTAGTATCTAGTATATATATATATTGCTCTGGGTGATGACAAATCATTTAATTGTCTGAAAATAATAATAACAATAAGTGTCTTGAATATGAAGATAACTAGTTGTTTTGTTGTTGATCATAGTGAACACTGGCGTAAGGAGAACAACCTACAGCAAAATGTTAGTTCTCTCAAGGAGGAACTGTCAAGGGCTGACCAATCTTTACGTTCCATGGCTGGCAAGGTAAGTCTCAAGCTTCTTGTTATAATTACTTGTATACATTGGATATTTTTGCAGTGGAGTGAATACCTAGCCCTTAAAATTTGTGTATCATAATATAGTGTTCCATGGCCAAATGCAGTTGTCATCATTAGCATATTTTAGATATCATTGCCTGGATTTTATACAAATATTGTTAATATAGTACATCAGTATGGATGTAATGGAGTTAGCTATTGTTTTTATTTTCTCACTATGCAATGAAGTTATTGTGTCCCATTGGCCTACAGTTATTGTCAGATCACAATTTGGTCTTTCTTATCATTAGTTTTAATATTACTGGATGACTTTACCAGAAAGAATAGCAGCATGGAGTGGGTTGCAAGACTTGTATGAGCTGTGCCAGTGTCAGGTTTACATGTTGTTCATATTAATATAGGCCTATATACTGGACTCTTATCATGTTATACTACTGATACTGTTAGTTATGTGACATAGCTAATTAAGCCAAGTTTTCTTGAATTTATATATTTTTCTAATTTTTTTCTTATGAAATGATAAATATGTCCATTTCATTAAGTATAAGTTAATTTGTTTAATTTGAGATAAAGTAACAAAGATATACGACCGAACCTAACCAACCCTACCTAACCTAACCTAAACTAACACAACTAAGTCAATAAATTATGGTCATAATATAATATAATAATAATTCAAATAAACTAATTGGAAACAATTTTTTGAAAAAAGAAAAAAGAAAAAAAGAAACTCACTTGGCCTATTAGGCAAATCGGGCCCAGCATAGTAGGCCGAGAAGTGCATTCTGGCTACTTGGTATGACATATATATATATATATATATATATATATATGTCGTACCTAGTAGCCAGAACTCACTTCTCAGCCTACTATGCAAGGCCCGATTTGCCTAATAAGCCAAGTTTTCATGAATTAATGTTTTTTCGTCTACCTAACCTACCTAACCTAACCTAACCTAGCTTTTTTTGGCTACCTAACCTAACCTTACCTATATATATAGGTTAGGTTAGGTTAGGTAGGGTTGGTTAGGTTCGGTCATATATCTACGTTAATTTTAACTCCAATAAAAAAAAATTGACCTCATACATAGTGAAAAGGGTAGCTTTATCATTTCATAAGAAAAAAATTATAGTAAATATATTAATTCAGGAAAACTTGGCTTATTAGGCAAATCGGGCCTTGAATAGTAGGCTGAGAAGTGAGTTCTGGCTACTAGGTACGACATATATATATATATATATATATATATATATATATATATATATATAGTTAGTATATATATATTAGTATATTTTGGTAGCAGTCTTTCCTGTAGACATATATTATTAAATATGACCGAAAAAGTAAGATTAATAATTCTAACACGAATTTTTTCAATCTTTCGTACATTTCTTTTCACTGTTGGAGGTAATTCAAAAATCAATTCTCCGAAATAAAAATGAATTTTGGAGAATTGATTTTTGAATTACCTCCAACAGTGAAAAAAAAATGTACGAAAGATTGAAAAAATTCGTGTTAGAATTATTAATCTTACTTTTTCGGTCATATTTAATAATATATATATATATATATATATATATATATATATATATATATATATATATATATATATATATCGTACCTAGTAGCCAGAATGCACTTCTCGGCCTACTATGCAAGGCCCGATTTGCCTAATAAGCCAAGTTTTCCTGAATTAATATATTTTCTCTAATTTTTTTCTTGTGAAATGATAAATCTACCCATTTCATTATGAATGAGGTCTATTTTTTTTTATTTCCAATAAAAAAAATTGACCTTATACATATTGAAATGAGTAGCTTTATCATTTTATAAGAAAAAAATAGAGAAAATATATTAATTCAGGAAAACTTTGCTTATTAGGCAAATCGGGCCTTGCATAGTAGGCTCAGAAGTGCGTTCTGGCTACTAGGTACGACATATATATATATATATATATATATATATATATATATATATATATATATATATATATATATATATATATATATATATATATATATATATATATATATTTATTTTGTGTGTGTGTGTGTGTGTCGTACCTAGTAGCCAGAACACACTTCTCAGCCTACTATGCAAAGTCCAATTTGCCTAATAGGCCGAGTGATTCTCTTTATTTTCAACAAATTGTTTCCAATTGGTATATGAAATATTATTACTATAATATATTAGGAACATAAATTATTGACTTAGTTATGTCAGTTTAGGTTATGTTAGGTACGGTTGGTTAGGTTTGGTCGTATATCTACGTTAGTTTTAATTCAAATTAAAGACCTTAACTCATAAATAATTAAATGGATAGCTTTATATTTTCATATGAACAAAATTCGAAAAAATATATAAATTCAGAAAAACTTGACTTGTTAGGCAAATCGGGCCTTGCATATTGCAGTCGCTCGGGGTCAGGCTTGGAGTAGGAGTTGCCATGAAGATATTTTTACACATTTATTTCAGTGATTTGTTTCTCTCCTTTTTTTCCATTAATATTATTCAGTGTTGTCATTTGGGAATATCATATAATAAAATGTAGAACGTCAGAACACTCAAATATCATCGTTTCACTAAGATGCACACCATATTATATTCTTATAACAATAAAACATACTTTTTGTTATTATACTGTATTCTCTATAACTGCATTTTCTTTGCACCATTGCTAGCAGTTCTGTGGATGTAATAATCTTAAACCAGTTATCAATGTTTTAATTCCATACGTTGAGTATATATGTGTATTAAACTGTATTGTCCTGGGGACCATTCAGGCTTGTTCGCATTTGTGTTCCTCACGTGTGCCCCAAAGAATGAGGTGATTTGGTAAAATGCTATGCCCAAAATTACTATCCGAGTGCCGGCGGTGGGGTGGTTCAAATAGCCTCGGCTATCACCTCATTATGTCCGGTCGTGATGGTCAAGTGGATTAAGGCGTCTTGTACATACCAGTTGCATTGCTCCTGGGAGTATGGGTTCGAGTCACTTCTGGGGTGTGAGTTTTCAGTTGTATTAAATTTTCTTTGTATTTTTAATGCTAGTCAGTTCCGATGGCACCTGGTGCAGCAAAAGGCCTCATAATATACTAAACATATTGCTAACTTTAGTCCAAACACTGCTAATATTATCAGAATTCTGACTATAAATCCTAAATATGAATAATTTTCCACAAGTTTATTTTCTAAAGGAACATGGTCTCTCTTCTTGGTAGGCACACCAAACCACAGCTGTGTTCTGTGAATATCTGTCTCCTGCTGTGATTATTGTAACTAGCATTTGGTTCACTAATATCTGAATCTTGTACTATATAGTTATATCAGTTAGAATCTTCTATAACTATCATTATTAAGTAATAAGTACTTATGTCATCATTATTAAGTGCTACTCATGGTTACTCTTAGTACCAAAGCCTTCAATGCCCAGGAGGGGTGCCCATGATTTCTTTCCAAAATGCTTCTGTTTACTGGAGGCCTCACGAAGCAGATGTGAACCCTATGTATCTGTAGTAGTTTTAAATCTTAATTCTTAAAACTTCCCAAAACCACATCATGCAGTTTACCAATAATTAGCAAGGTAACCCCCCCAGCTGTATCGTGCAATGGAAGGGTTAAGGGGTTATTTGTCTCCAGTCTTGAATATTGGTGCCAAGTTTGTTGTACAATATTTTGGGCTTAATAGTTGCCCATTTGCTTACGACACATTATTGCCTTTTTGTAGTTAGAGGATTACATGGAGTGTTTGCTCACTCTTACAATTAATTTATTTTCTAGGCAGAATGTGATCTTTTTCATTACATATCTTACTTTCTTTCTGTCTGTTATCCAGAAAGCATCGCTATTAGGTGAGAAGCTTGACAGTATATACAGGTTAAAAATTAGCTAACATAATTGAAAAGATAATTAGATAAATGGAGAGGTGATTAGGTAGTAATAGTATAAAATGACAAAACCTAAGGGTGTCCAGCTGTTTTCAGACTGGAATGGCTTAGCTTAGATACTACAGATGACCAGTTAAAGGACACTAGGAGGGCCACAGTGGCATTAAGTTCTACTTGAAAAATATATATAAAGTAATTATACAAGTCCCCCATTAAAGAAAATGTTTGATTTCAGCCCATCCTTAATGGCCGGGACAGTGTTCAGAAGGTGTTGGATACGTTTCGTGACCGTGGTGGGCACCTTGGAGAAATTGCCACTCAGTATTATGGTCTTCTCATTGAAAATTTTGAATGTGAGCGTTCCATCTATACTGCTGTAGAAGTTACTGCTGGTAATAAGTAAGTAGTAGTGGTTGTGTTGAAATTACTGTTTTTCTTCAAAGTTAAAGTATTGCATTGATATAAATTGCACAAGTGAGAAATTATTTTAAAATTTAAAATTACATTTAAAAACTTTTAAATTACAAAAATCTAATAACAGATTTCACAAAAATTATACAAAAAAATTACTTGTACAATATATACATACAAAAATTACTAATACTGTACTTATTGTACTTATTAGTATGTACAAGTATGTATTGTACTTGTACTATACACATATACAAAAATTACTAATAACAGTAAAATAAATTGGAAGATAGCTGTAACCTTTTAATTAATAAAGAAGTAAGATATCCTGGGTCATATTGCTGGAGGTCTTTATTACATGCCATATCTGGTGAAAAAGAGGTCTAGTCTTTTATTAAGCAACTTGCCTAAATTGAGTGACATTATGTACTAACCCTTGTGTTTTCTAGGTGTCATCAGCTCAATCTGTGTTATGCAAATCCTTCACACTTTAAAGCAGAATTAGATGCTTAACGTTAACCCTTAAACTGCGTAAAACCTCATATGACGTGAGGCATTGAAAGTCGTTTTTTAAATTTTCTGAAACTCTTCAAGTGTTTTGTGAATAATCTACTAGGCAAATGCTCCAACTTTGTCTAAATGATACCAGTGTAACTTGAAAAAACAAGAAAATAAAAAATAATTATAAAATTGAATATTTAAAACTTAATATTTTGAAATCAGCTGAAAAAATATAAAAATGTCACCAACTGTTCATTTGGTGTTATTATGCTCTTAGAATAGCCTATGATCTTCATTTTCATATATTTAGAAAATAGGTTTTCAGTATAGTTTACTGTAAAAAAAATTTGTCAATGTGGCATTTGAAATATGCGCAAATTTAGACAACAAAAATTTATAACTCCAAACGTTTAAGTTTATGAAAAATCAATTCTATAGGGATTGTAGAACAGACAACTGTGAACACTATATGTAAAAATGGTGAGAATCAGTCAGAAATTAGATTTTTGGATACTGAAGTAAGTTGAAATTCTAGTTATAGATATAATTGAAGTTATTGACAATGAATAAGGCAGTTTTAATTCATGAATTTACTTGTATGTTGTAATAAATATTGTTTGGCATTCGTACTCTCATATGTGAAAGTTGTAGGTCAATGTGCGTAGAAATGAAGTCAAGAAAAAATCACACCCCCCCCCCCCCACAAAAAAATAGGGATAATTATAATTATAATGATTTAGTGAATATATTTAGGGTCTACTTTATAGTTGTTGTTTTTTTTAGTTCATTTATTGTGCACCCCATACCCATCTTGTGGGCAGTAGTGGTAAGGGTTACAGAGGCACATAATGGGCTCAGGGACTGAACCCCACAATTCATTTAGCTAAGCAAGTTACAATCTTGATGAGCTAGTTACAAAATTCAATATAAGTTGTCACATCAACAATGGGTTCGAGATCGACCACAAGTACAGTTTCTAAATTAAGCAACTGACATACGTGGAGAGCTAGTGTCACAACTGATATGTTTGTCCTGCACACCGCCCCCCATCCAGTGGGCAGCGGTGGATAGGTTACAATCACTTAGTTACTACCTACAGTTAGCAAACTGGGGATATTTGGCTAAAATTTCTGGTAGCAGGGATTGCTGCGGTTTTGGACATTATATGCATATACTCTTAATATCTACTTTATATAAGTAAAAAAGCCCTAATCTGGTCCCTAATCATCAAAACATCTTAAAAACAAGGAAAATAGAGTTTGAAATCTGTAAAAAAAAAAATCAGCCAAAAATAATTCAAAGACCCAAGTTCTGTTTGTTGTAACTAATTTATTTGTTGACCAATTTAATTCTGGCTTCACATAGTTAGGGACAAGTATGCATTCTCCAGGATGTAAAGGTTAAAACAAATTCAAATAATAAACAAAGGAAAAAGCCTAAAAACCTAAAAAAAATCCCCCCAAAAAATATTTTTTGGACATTGTTGAAAGTAACTGTTAATAACATTGGGCAATTTATTTATATGATGTATAACAAAATAGGGCATAATAACATAAATACTCATTATTATTTGTGTTATGTATTACTCACCAATGCTATAAAGGCACCAACTGTATATCCACTTTGTGGACACTTCTTACTACTGTTCTTCTTCTTTGTGTGTCGGACAGGTGCTTGCATCTCTTATTATTACATTATCCATCAGCTCCAGTTAATGAAATGGGTGTGTGTGTGTGTGCAATGGATCTTGGAACTTGTATTTTCAAGAACAAGAGGTCATAGACTTGTAAGGAAGCCAAAGTGCCAAAATAATTTTGGGAAGTTCTCTTTTGCAAACAGAGTGGTAGATGGAACAAATTAAGTGAGAATGTGGTGGATGCCAAAACCATCAGTCTTTTCATAGCATCATGTGATTAAGAGCACTGGAAAGACAGGACATCACGAGCATAGCTCGTGATGTCATTATAAACTGAAAAGTATAACTACTTTTAAGTAATTATGCACATTTTTTTCAGGCTTTTTCATCATATTGTTGAATCTGACAAGATTGGCACTCAGATTCTGAAGGAGATGAACAAGCAGAAGTTGCCTGGGGAAGTTACCTTCATGCCTCTCAACAGACTCACAGTAAAAGACATTGATTATCCTCAGACTAATGTAAGTGTATTTTTTGAGCAATAAATATTTTGTTTTTCTTAACAGTATTTCAAATCATTGTAGATGTAACAATATTGTTATATAATATTTCACCAAATCCAATTTTCCCAAGTGGAGATAAGACAATTGTGAGCCTAATGTTAAAAATGTGTCTAACGAAGCTCGGTAACACTGTTAAACAATTAGGGGTGTGAGGGTCATGCTCAGTGTAACATGGAGAAAAGGAGAGCATTATGAGCAATAACTTTTTTACTCTCTAATGTTGGACCAATCTAGGATAATAATCTAAAATTCACTCTAATCAATATTAAGAGATACCAGCTATGAGAGAGAGATCTTGCTTCTGGTGATACAACTAAAAATACTGAACTAGGTTTGAGTCACCTGACAGGTAGTAAACAAAGGATCACAGTCATAGATGTCAGACTGGAGAGGTATGACAAGCAGGGTTCCTCATGGCTCAGTTCTGAACATCATCTTATTTGTAATCTATGTAAACCACCTATCTGAGTGGATTAATTTGTGGGGTGTAGATGGTGCTAAGCTAATAAAACAAAATGTAGAAGGCTCAAAAGATACTCCGACAAACTACAGGAGTGGACAGACAAAATTGGAAACTGGGCCAGGAGACCTGAAGGAAACTGTCATCAGACATAAGCACCTGCAAGTAATAGAACACAGAGATATTTTAGAGCTGATATACTGTAGGATTACTGGCAAACATAAGAATGTGTTTCAAGAACCTAAACAAGGATGATTTCAATGCAATTTACACAAACTTATCACACAAGTCCTAAAAAATACAGTACCTGTATTGGCAGGTAATTTACATCTAGGGAAACAACAAATAAAAGTTGAAAAAGTCCCAAAGATTGTAGTAAGCTTAGTGCCTGAAGTAAGCGTCCTAATCTATAGTATGAACACACAATTTAAGGTAAATTCACATCTATCACCTCAAGAGTAGAGAAGAACCAAAAGACATGTAATTAACATTGGATTTTGTAACAACTTCAGTGGGTAGGCCAACATACAGTAAAATAACTTCAGTGGGTAGGCCAACATACAGTAAAATACTGTACATCCATATTAATATGTAAATAGCTACAATTTTATTATTTTGATAAACATTTCAAATGGTGTAGGTAGACTGCATTCTCCAACTCACTACTCTTGTCCACTGACACACACATTTCCCCCTCCCCGGTCATCCCTCATTCATATGTGTAACAATATATTTAGTAGTGCCATAATGAATTGGTGCTGTGAGGGGGATGGTCAACAGGGTGTGTGTGTGTGTGTGTGTAGTAACACTCATTTACAGTTAGTGTGCTCTTTGCACTTCAACTCGAAAGTGATAGGGGTGGAAAATGAAATCACAGCCAAAGTGTACATAAATAGCTTTATTATTTGCCTGTAAACATATATACTGGACACACTATTTTTATGTAGATTTCCTATAATTATTGTTTTTATTAATAAATTATTTAATAATTTGTATTGAAATTTTTTCATAGGGAACCATGGATGACATCCATTAATTGGTTAGGATTCAGTAATATCTCATTACAATTGCCATTGGCTTCTAAATTTGTTGGAATATCTATTCTGGCTGGGGTTTTGTATTTTGTGGCTTCGTTTTTTTTTTTTTTTTTTTTTAAGTAGAAGAGTGTAACTTAAACTTGTTTATCAAAAGTTATACATTTACAGGATGCCATCCCTATGGTAAGCAAGTTGACTTACTCTCAACGATACCATAAAGCTCTCAAGTATATTTTTGGCCGCACCCTCATATGCCGTAATTTAGAAGTTGCTACTCATCTGGCTCGTTCCACTCGTCTTGACTGTGTTACGCTCGATGGAGATCAAGTAAGTTCCGGTTAGATTTTAATTGTAGTGTGCAACTATGTACTTTTTGTAGAAGACCAATACTAATTCAAGAGAGTTTCCATTAATGTTTTGAGATGTTGACTAGTCCCATGAACCATGCTTCATTGCTAACTGAATGGGGATAAAGGTGGTGCTTTGTACTCCAAAATGACTCTCAGGAGCATATTTACTTGAATTTCATACTATGACTTTTTATTGGGATATATATTTTTTGCACCATTTGAAGTATTTTTCTTTTATCCTATTTCATTTTGGTTGTATATTAGCCCTGGCATATGCTTGTAACATTTTGTGCATCATAAGTTGATAATTAAGGATGGCTTTTTCCCTGGTGCCACTTATTTTAATTACTGTCCTTTTAATCACAGTAAAATATGTGGATTATTGCCCAGGGCTAAGAAACCATGTGTTACTAGTATAGTAGGCAAGTACACCACCAGTTCATAGCTAAGGTCACCCGCAATCCAGAAAATGTAATCAAACTTGATAACACAGTGGTCACTGGCTCCTAGTAGTATCTCATATTTTAAGTTTTTACATCCTCATTTTGGGTAAATATTAAATATATAAGTGTAGGGTAGCTGGTAGATCACTGCCTCTTACTCTTGTCGGCTCCTTGATGAGCTGTTGCAAGAAGTATTTGTTTGTAGTGTCTACAAATCTTGCTTCTTATGGTTCATCTCTCCCGTGCAGATCCTTTGTCGACCGGTCTATTTCCCCTGTGGTTAAAATCCCTCAAAGTGTTAGTATCTTTCCTCTGGCTCTCCTTGCCATTGCAGCTGCCATTTTTTTTTTTTTTTATCATCTTCAGACATGTACCATTGCATTTATCATAGTCCTCCCTTGACCTTTCTGTAGATGATGGAGGATTGTAAATGACACCACTATCTTCAGACTTGATTTCTTTTCTTACTACTTGATATCCTCACAGTTCCTCAACTGCAAAGATATGGGGATGTAATTCTGCCTCCTTTTCTTGCAGCTCTACCCATTTATTTGTAATCCCATCTGCATTTGCTGCATGCCAAATTTTTACACTAGTCGTTTTTACAGGGCTACTTAATTTGGCCTGTATGGCTCTTGGGTGCCTTTCGAATCACTGAGTTCATCCTTTCCTGGGATTCCAATCTCACCTCAACTTGCCCCTCACTCCTGTTTATAAAGCTTCCCTTGTTTCCATCATTTCAATTTTTTTTTTTTTTTTTTTATCAAGATGCATACTTTATTTCATCAAGATGCATACTTTATTTCATCATGCTTTGCTTGCCTCTATGAGCACACCAGATTTTGGTCAGGTATTTAGTAGACCTGTGCACATCCTGAGGCCTGCTTCTTTTGTGGAGCTAATGCACTAAAGGTCGGCCGAGTGGACAGCACACTGGACTTGTGATCCTGTGGTCCTGGGTTTGATCCCGGGCGCCGGCGAGAAACAATGGGCAGAGTTTCTTTCACCCTATGCCCCTGTTACCTAGCAGTAAAATAGGTACCTGGGTGTTAGTCAGCTGTCACGGGCTGCTTCCTGGGGGTGGAGGCCTGGTCGAGGACCGGGCCGCGGGGACACTTAAAGAAAAACGAAATCATCTCAAGATGAAGGTGCTACTAAAGTACTACAATCTATACCGTTACTAGAAGGGGTACTGAGGTTGCTCTGGAAAGACCATATTATTTCATTTGATACTTTTTTTATTGATATTTTGTTTAATAAAATTCTGATTATCATCATCATTCAACATGACTAACAATTTTATAATCTTTATAATACTTTTTATAATAGGTGTCAAGTAAGGGATCACTAACTGGTGGATACTTCAACACTTCACGATCCCGTCTTGAAATCCAAAAGACGAGATCAGAATTACGGGATCAGATTACATCAGCTGAAACAGAGCTAAGAACTTTACAAGAAACTTTGAGAAACACAGAACAAGAAATAAATAAGATTGTTTCTGAGATGCAGAAAACAGAAATTAAGAACAGCAAAGCCAAGTAAGTCTTTATCTGTAAAGATATCTACTGTATATAGGTATGACAAGCTTTTCCTTTGTGCTACATTTTGATAACTGGCACTTGAAGGGACTGCCCAGCATTATTAGTTGGACTTATAATGTTTTGCCAATTCTTTCTTTCCTCGGCACAAGAAAGCTTAGATTTTGTTACATTTTAACACTTTCGCTTCCCATTTTGGGAAAGCGATATATATATATAAAAAATAAATAATGAATGTTGTTGAATATGACCGAAAGGGTAAGATTATAATAATGCTAACACAGATCTTCTCAATATTTCTTACGTTGTTCTTCACTGCCGAGGTAATTAACTCTCCAAAATTCATTCTTTATTTCTGGTCTGACACTTGAACGCATTTTGTGATGCTTATTATATTTTCAAAGACTTAGTTTACACATAAAATACATTCATACTTATACTCGTTTTGGGTGAGGTGACAAAGCTATGACAGAACACAAATCAATAGGTATAAAGAACATATGAATAGAAGTAACTGCAGAAGGCTTATTGGCCCATAATTCCTCTTGCTGCTTCTCTGTTGGTTCATTCCCTAAATTTTTAGGATCGTCTCAAAGCCCTTCAAATGTACTCATTAGAAAGGAGACGAGCATCAGACCAGAAATAAAGAATGAATTTTGGAGAGTTAATTTATCAATTACCCTCGGCACTGAAGAACGTAAGAAATATTAAGAAGATTTGTGTTAGAATTATTAATCTTACCCTTTCGGTCATATTTAACAACATATGTTTACAAGAAAAACTACTACCAAAATATACTAATATATATATATATATATACATACATATACTGCATATGTATACAGTGGAACTTCGAGTGACGAGTGACTCCAGTTACAAGCATAGCGAGTAATGAGCGAGCCACTCGCAGAAAATTTGTGTCATTTAACGAACAAAGCCCATAGTGCTTCCTAGCGTTCCCGCTGGTTCTCCAACGACAAGAGTTGTTGTTGTTTCGCAAGACGAGCTTGGTGCCGGAACAGATTAAGTTTGTTAATCAAGGCGCCACTGTACTGGCATGTTACCTTTTTTTTAAATAAAGTATAGTGATCTGGAGTACATGTACTATTTAGATACCTCTGAAATATGTGGGTACATTATTTGCTAAACTACCCATGCAATTTTTTGCCACTTAAGATACTGGGTAGATGAAACATTGGCACATTTTTAAAGATACCATACAACATCAACATTGTTTATGCGTGTGGTACCAGATTAGACAGTGAATTGCACTGCAGATTGAATCGCTATATTGTTGAGATAAAACTTAATAAATTTCTGCCCTGCTTTTTTCATCTTTTCAACAATTTGAATACAGTATCAGTATCCATGACATTTTTTAGGTGGCAGCTATTAGAAAAAACATTTCTTTTACAGGAACTTATTTGAGAAAGTGAAAACAGATATTAGATTGATGAAGGAGGAGCAGTCAGGACTGGAGCGCACTAAGCAACCTAAGGAAAGATCATTGACTCAGCTGAAAGCCAACTTGGAGGCCATGATGGCCACCAAGGAGGGCTTGGAGTCTGAGCTTCACCAAGATCTCATGGCCACACTTAGTGTTCAGGTAAGTTTTGCATATCAATTAACTATGTGGACATTTTGGAAGTTAGTCGTGTAGCAAATGCCAGGATCCTATCACAATGCACATACTATTCCTGTGTTCCTGCACAGCAGGAACCTTATTATTTTTTGTGTGTTGATGTAACTTGTGCTTTATGAGTAGGAGGTAAAGAAACTGTAACTGAATAAAGGTCTCTTCTCTTAATTTGTTTTCCCTCACTCAACTTGTACAGTCTTCTATGTGCCATGGAACTATTTATTAATTTAACTTCGATTTAAAATTAAGCCTAAATGATATTAAAATCTGTAAAGTATTTTTTATTCTTAATATGACATTGGTGAACAACTGTATATGCTATATTGTATGACTTTGTTACTCTCTCTTCACTGTCAGGACCAACATGAGGTTGATCAGCTGAATGATGACATCAGACGGCTGACCCAAGAAAATAAGGAAGCTTTCACCAGACGTATGAAATTAGAAGCAGACAAGAACAAGTTGGAGAACCTTCTTACAAATAATCTTCATCGGAGAAAGGATGAGCTAATGCAGGTACAATACATAACTTGTACATGTGTGTGTTTGTTCAGAATGTAATGTCTGTTATTTACCTATGGCTGGTTATTTGAATAGTCTTCCATGTAGCAGCTTGTCCCCGAGACCAGCCTTTCCTGTTAAGTTCAGTTAGCAGTAGTGTGATGTGTGTTACTTTTTGGGTTGTGGAAAATTATAGAAATAGGAAGAGGTTTACCGAGAAGCAACTACTGGATCAGCCAGGTTATGAATGTGGTGTCAGCCACACACTTACTAATGAAGTTATCACCAAAAACATGAGTATAAGAACTCGACAAACCATAATGAATCCGCTAATAAACATAATGTGAAAATTTGCATGTTTTATCGATACTTCATGTTTCTGCAAATATATCTTTGAGCACAATTCCTTGATTCATGATACTATTTGTAGAAAACTAGGCTACTTTTCTAACACACACTATTAATTAATATTAGTGTATAATATTTATTTTATTTTATATTAGTAATGATATAAATTAGTTTGATTTGAGCCATTTATTATTTAATTTTCATCAATATATTGTAATGTATATATATGTATGCACAAAGAAATCACATGAAAGTGATATTTCAATTAGAAATTCAGTAGAAGCCTTGAGGATTCAAAGCAATGCACTGGGTACTCCCAGGCAATGGTCTAGACCACTACACCACAACATGGCCAAAAGCACTGCATCCTGGGATTCAACTGTAACTTGTAAATGCATTTGAATCTCAACCCAACTTAAGGAATACAAAAGAAGTGTTAAGTGTTAAGCAGACATAAACAATGCTCTCTTCTGTCATGTTAGGGACTCTAATCGTCATATAAATTGGTGTTCAGAAAAAATCTTTCCCATCTCTACACTTCACAGACGCCATCTTGTTAAATCGGCTTTGGTACACAACAGGCCCAACATGAATAAACCTTAGTCTTGGGTTTGTTGCTGTTGACTCTTCCTTTCCACAGTACATACTTAAATGCCCCAACCTTCTTGATAAATGTGATCTGCACTAAGCCTACACCTTTCTCTTATTCTTACCTCATCCCATTCTTACCTTTTTCTCTTAACTGCTCCTTACTTCTCACCTCACTCTTATATTATGTATTTGCCTGTACCTTCCTCTCTTCTGCCACACGACTTGATGATGGTCCTGGACGGACTGAAATGTCATCGTTTCTCCATTTTTTCTGTGTGCTTTGGTCATCACCTCTCAAATGTTGCAAGATAAAACACAATGAGCAAAAAAAAAAAAATTCATCTGATATAAGCATGGTTTTGGGTTGACACTTCATCAAAGATGTTAGAACATCCGACTCTTTTGTTTGCTGACCCCTGTCATAGAATTAAAGAAAGTTTTTTAAATATGTTTTTCTCGATCTGACGCCTTGTTATGCATTTGGTTATTATACCTGCCATATGGGTTTGCTGTAATCAAGTTACTGTACGGTATAATCTAGTATTTATGTTTTTCTCGATTTGACGCTTTGTTATGCATTTGGTTATTATACCTGCCATATCTGTTTGCTGTAAGTTACTGTACAGTATAATCTAGTATTTAGGTAAGTTTTGTTTCTACTCATTGTTAATATTTTTTTGGCAGGCATTGCAAGAAATTTCAGTGGAGGACAGGAAGCGTCAACTGGAACACAGCCAGAGTGAGATCCAGAGAGTTGACGCCCGTATTGAAGAAGTGGCTGTGCAGTACAAAGATGTAGAGAAAAAGGTCACTGAGCATCAAAAGAAAGAAAAGGTAATTGCTTTAATTTGTAATATATAATATTATAGCTGTTATTATTTTGTTAGTATATTGGAGATACATACACATGCTTTCTCAATTTAAATTAAATCACATGTATTCATATGCACACACACAAGCTCTCTCAATTCTTAATTAAAATTAAATTAAATTTGTTTATTATTTGAGCTTTAAATTTTGTATGTACTTATTTTCATTGCAGAGTTTAAAATCTGAACTAGAAAAAGTGAAATCCAAAGAGAAGGAAGTAATGGAAAGAATGGAAGAAGATGCTAAGGACTTGGAGAAAATGGCATCCAAGCAAAATCTTCTGCATCAGAAGATAGATGAATGCACAAAAAAGATTCGAGATTTGGGATCTCTTCCCTCAGAAGCCTTTGATAAATATCAGGCAAGATTATTGACAATTTTGATGTTGCATTGATTAATTGATACATTTTGTATGTTATAAATACTTTAGAACATGTATTCACAGTGCAGGCCTTCTTTTGTTTGGTGTACTCACCTAGTTGTGCTTGTGGGGGTTGAGCTTTATCTCTTTGGTCCCGCCTCTCAACTGTTAATCAACTAGTGTGCAGATTCCTGAACCTACTGTGCTCTGTCATACCTATATTTGAAACTGTGTATGGAGTCAGCCTCCACCACATCACTTCCCTAGTGCATTCCATTTGTTAACTATTCTGACACTGAAAAAATTCTTTCTAACGTCTCGGTGGCTCATCTGGGTACTCAGATTCCACCTGTGGCCCCCTGTTCGTGTTCCACCCGTGCTGAAGAGTTTGTCTTTGTCCACCCTGTCAGTTCTGAGAATTTTGTTGGTGGTTATCATGTCTCCCCTTACTCTTCTGTTTTCCAGGGACGTGAGGTTCAGCTCCTTTAGCCTTTCCTCTTTTAGCTCATACCTCCCGGTTCCGGGACAAGTCTGGTGGCATACCGCTAAATCTTCTCTAACTTGTGTTTGTGTTTAACTAGGTATGGACTCCAGGCTGGAGCTGTATATTCCAGGATTCATCTGACAAGTGGTATACATGATCAACTCCCAGATCTTTCTCTCTATTTGACTTGCAGGATTTCACCTCCCAGTTCGTACCTTGTGTTCAGCCTTCTGCTCCCTTTGCCTAATTTCATTACTTTTTACTTTCCTGAGTTGAACTTTAGCAGCCATTTTCTAGACCATTCCTTCGGTTTGTCCAGGTCATCCTGTAGTGTCTCTCTATCTTCATCTGTCTTGATTCTTCTCACAATTTTTGCATCATCAGCAAACATTGAGAGGATTGTGTCTATACCCTCCGGAAGATCGTTTACATATATTAGAAACAGGGATGGGTCCAAGTACTGAGCCCTGTGGGACTCCGCTGGTGACATCGCACCACTCTAATGTCTCCCCCTCACAGTTACTCCCTGTTTCCTGTTGCTTAAATACTCCCTTATCCACTGTAACGCCTTCCCATTTACTCCTGCCTGTTGCTCCAACTTTTTTATCAGCCTTTTATGAGGTACTGTGTCAAAGGCTTTCTGACAGTTCAAGAAAATGCAGTCTGCCCACCCATCTCTTTCTTGCCTAATTTTTGTTGTTTGGTCATAGAATTCTATTAAACCTGTGAGGCACAATTTACCATCTCTGAACCCATGTTGGTGGTGTGTTACAAAGCTATTTCCCTCCAGATGCTCTACGAGCCTTTTCCTCACGATCTTCTCCATCACCTTGCATGGTATACAAGTTAGGGAAACTGGCCTGTAGTTCAGTGCCTCTTGCCTGTCGCCCTTTTTGTATATTGAGACTATGTTAGCTGTCTTCCAATTTTCCGGTAGGTCTCCTGTTCCTAGTGACCTGTTATGCACCATGGAGATTGGCACACTTAGTGCTTCTGCACCTTCCTTTAGTATCCATGGGGAGATTCTGTCAGGCCCAACAGCCTTTTGTCACATTCAGCTTCAACAGATTCCTTTTGACCTCATCACTGGTGACATTAAATTCCTCCAAGGTTGCTTGGTGTGTCTCCTCATTTAGTGCAAGGGCTTCTCCTTGTTCTTTTGTGAAGACCTCCTGAAATCTCTTGTTGAGTTCTTCACACACCTTGTCTTTCTCTGTGTATCTGTTTTCCCCTTTTCTCAGTTTCATCACTTATTCCTTCACTGCTGTTTTCCTCCTGATGTGACTGTCTCTGCTTCCCTCCTCACTCTTAGGTGCTCATTTCTGGCTCTCTGATATCTCTCCCTGCTTTCTGGTGTTCTGTTATTTCTGTAGTTTCTCCATGTGCTTTCATTCAGTTGCTTTGCTACCTTACATTCATGGTTGAACCATGGATTCTTCTGTTGCTTTTCGTTTTTCTCCTTTTGGACCGGGATAAACCTGTCTGCAGCTTCCTGGCACTTCTGGGTGACATAGTCCATCATATCCTGTACAGTCTTGTCTCAAAGTTCTGTTTTCCATGGTATTCCCCTTAGATCTAGCTAATCTAGGTAATCTTAGATCTAGGTAGTGAGATCTAGCTCTTCATGGCCCGCCTCGCTACTGTTTGTGTGTGACATTTGCTAATTACCTCTCTCAACATTATTATTTTCATCATAATTTTTTTTTTTAACTTTTGGATGGAATTGGCTTCCTGCCTTCAGTATATTTCACTTGCCAGGTACAGGGAATGAGAATTTCTTTACATGTCTTCGACTTGGTTGCATGTCCAGCTGAGGTCCCTTTGTCCTACCTCTTTTTTTTAATAGGTTTCCTTTGACAACTTTATCTATTTCCCTTAAAATCTTGTATTCACTCACTTATTTAATATTCTCCCCATACCCATTCCATGGGCAGTGGTGAAAAGGGTTAGGGAGGCAAATTTTTTTACTGCAGGTAATGCATACATATGACTAAGTTCAAAATCTTTTGTATAGTTAAATCAGCTCTGGTTTCTTCTGTTTCTTCTTCTCTGAAGTTGTGAGAGCGAGTTCTCTCAACCTGTCCTGGCCTTGAGAGGCCTTTCAGTCTGGTACTAATCTAGCTGCAAACTTCTGTATCACTAATATGGTGCTTGTTGTGTGCTTGTATCAGTGGTATGATATGGTGCTTGTTGTGTGCTTGTATTAGTATCAGTGGTATAATATGGTGCTTGTTGTGTGCTTGTATTAGTATCAGTGGTATGATATGGTGCTTGTTGTGTGCTTGTATTAGTATCAGTGGTATGATATGGTGCTTGTTGTGTGCTTGTATTAGTATCAGTGGTATATGGTGCTTGTTGTGTGCTTGTATTAGTATCAGTGGTATAATATGGTGCTTGTTGTGTGCTTGTATTAGTATCAGTGGTATAATATGGTGCTTGTTGTGTGCTTGTATTAGTATCAGTGGTATAATATGGTGCTTGTTGTGTGCTTGTATTAGTATCAGTGGTATAATATGGTGCTTGTTGTGTGCTTGTATTAGTATCAGTGGTATAATATGGTGCTTGTTGTGTGCTTGTATCAGTGGTATAATACGGTGGTGTATGTGTTTATATCAGTGGTATAATTTGGTGGTGTATGTTTGCATCAATACTATAATATGGTATTGTGTGCTTGTATCAATGATGTGTGTGTGTATTCACCTAGATTTGTGTGTGTTTGTATAATATGGCATCTGGTATAATCACTGGTATAATATGGTGCTACTGTGCTGGTATCAGTGGTATAATATGGAGTGTACTTATATCTGTATTATAATAAAAACTATCTCTTTATTAATCCATTAATGTAATCTCTTTATCAATCCATTAATGTAACATCACTTGTATGTATATACCTTACCTGAATAAACATCTGAATCTGAATCTGAATCTTGACCGTTTTTATTTTTCTGCTTTCAGAATCTAGCAACAAAGCAACTTTTTAAGAAGTTAGAAGGTGCCAACATGGAATTGAAGAAGTATTCACATGTTAACAAGAAAGCCCTCGATCAGTTCATTTCTTTCTCTGAACAAAAAGAAAAACTTGTGATGAGAAAAGAGGAGTTAGATAGAGGGTAAGTTTTATTTGCTGAATATTTTAAGTATCAGTGATGAAATTTCTGTACAATTTGTATAAAAAAATTGTCAAGCATCGTCTACTGGGACCCTCAATTATGAAGCAATTGCGATCCCAGTAGCACACTCGGTTTCATTCTCAACTCTCAATCAAGAATTCTGGGTTCAAATCCTGGTTAAATTGAATGGTTGGGTGCATTTATCACCTAATGCCTCTGTTCACTTAGTGGTATATAGGGCGGGTTGTTGTAGGGCTGCATTTTGGGGAGGGTCAGTAGTGCGACCTTGGAGGGAGGGGGGGGGGCCAATGTAACCCTAGCATGTTTTTAAAAAATACGCTGGCTTCCTGTCCCCCGACAGTATGAATTAATTATATATATAGAGTATATATGTATGTGTAAGTAATGCATTATACTTAGATTTTTTGTATTATACTCTTGCAGATATGACAAGATTAAGGAACTGATGAATGTCCTTGAGCACCGTAAATATGAAGCTATCCAGTTCACTTTCAAGCAGGTATCCAAATATTTCAGTGAAGTGTTTAAGAAACTAGCCCCTCAAGGTCATGCTCAGTTGGTGATGAAATCTAATAGGGATGAGGAGAGTGAGGTGAGTTGTTAATGATTGTCATTAACACTTTGTTTTTTTATTCAGTAGTTTTTTAAATATACAAAATGTTAAGAAGGAAATACAAACTATGTATAGCAGAAAGGCAAAATCCAAAGCTTTAAGGGTTCTTTCAGATATAACAAAAGATTATGGACAAGACTTAAGCCATTGAAAATAAGATGGGTCAAGGAACAGAAAATTAAAGAAAAAAAAGGTTTATTTAAAATGTTGTGGCATTTGTACTATCTGGTTTGCCTCATTTTTGTATCAATATCTACTTTAGTTATCTGCAATCGAAACACACACACACAAGAAATAACACGCAACTAGGATTTTTTCTCAATGTTTGTTTAATTATAAAAGCCTTACTGTATTGATCTGAAGCTGTTTAGGTTAAGCCATAAATATGACTATACCTGAATTAGGAAGTGTATTCAAATAGCAACTAATCTGTTTTCTGTAGTTCCTTGTGATATGGCAAAGTATTGTCATTTTGACGGTGGTGCGTAGCTCAGTGCCACTTACTTTTTCCACTTCCAACCCAATTATCATTAGTTGATAATAGAGATATATTTAAAATATTATACATTGTTGGAAATAGATTAATGCTTTATGTATTATCTTATAATTGATCTTTGATATTGCAGCAAGAAGAACAGGGTACTGTGGACAACTTCTCGGGTGTTGGTATCAGAGTATCTTTCACTGGAAGAAATGCTGAAATGAGAGAAATGAATCAGCTATCAGGAGGTCAAAAGTCTCTTGTTGCTCTTGCCCTTATTTTTGCTATTCAAAAATGTGATCCAGCTCCATTCTACCTCTTTGATGAAATTGATCAGGTGAGTGGGTTTTCCTTTGTAATTTAAATAGGGATGTACCTTTTGAGATCCATGTGCAGTCATGTTCCTAAACACAATTAGAATTTATAATGTTGATGTTTTACTGAAAATTTACATTTCAATTCTCTTGCATTATCATGAAAATTTGTGGATTGATGGGAGCCCAGAGTTAGAATCTCCTATAATTCATCCCTTTTTATGAGTATGCATACATGTATGTCACATTAAATTTTTAGTAGATTTTGAATAGTGGAATTGTGTGTTCCAGGCTCTTGATGCTCAGCACAGGAAGGCAGTGGCTGACATGATCCATGAGTTGAGTAAAGATGCTCAGTTTATCACTACCACCTTCAGACCAGAGCTGCTGGAACATGCCAACAAGTTCTATGGGGTTAAGTTTAGGAATAAAGTTTCCCATGTGGAATGTGTGTCGAGAGAAGAAGCGTACGACTTTGTTGAAGATGATCAGACTCATGGTTGAACTGTTTTATGCTTCCTCGGGCTGTACTGTGTTGGGTGTGAGAGGTTCTTGGTAAAAATTCTTAATTAATTTTTTAGAAAGTTTTATAAAAGAAAATGTATGATACTTTTATTAAAGACATGTACAGAAATATAGATAAATTGAATGTGGTGAGTATAATTCTGTGATCTGGGTGAGATTATTGTAAATGAAAGTGAATGTGTGTGACACATGTAAATATTTATTTTCAACATGGCAGCATTTGCTTTTGTTGAAAGTAGGTCTCTGTACAAAATATTTTTGTTACAATTTAAGTTTATTTTCTAATGTGTATACATGGTTGGGACCTGAGGTACCATAATAATATAAAAGAAAGCACTTATTTTTACATGTTAAATTAATTTGATTAATCCAGAATTTTCCCTTGATTTTCTTATTTAATTGTAATTACTGTTTTTGTTTTTATTTTTATTTTTTAAATAAAAAACTTTGAATAGTAAATGGAAGATTATTTTATATTTTGTGGACAAATAAAATGTTCAAAATACAGTACATGCAAAGTGCTCTTTTTTTATTTTGTAATAAAGGATAAAACAAAAGTGCATTAATTTTCCCTTATTAATTACATTTATGTTTATGAACCGGTCATTTATTAAATGATGCACCCCTGTCAGTAAGTTTTTCCACGATGAGGTGAAGGGATTTATGCGCCTTCCACAGGAAAGGGGGGGTTACACCTGCTTCCTTCTCCAGCCTGGTGTGTTGGTGCACAAGCGAATTGTTTTCCAATGTGTGTTAGCTGTGCATGGTGACCTGTACATTCACTTGTGTTCCCTCATCTTGTAGCTGATCCTCCCTGGCAGCTGCGGCCCCTGGAGGGCAATATGCTGCTTTGGTGGGGGAGGGGGGTTGAGTAAAACTGGAGGTTTAGTACCTGAATCAAATGGCTCGTCTAGTTAGCTTGCCTAATTAGACATCGGATCAAGTGGGCATTCCTGTCAGTTCGTGGGTTACCATTCCTGTAGTAGTGGTGACTCACTACTACTGGAATGGTGGTGCCTTACCACCAAACATTGGTAAGGCAAGGTGGTACCTTACCACCAAACATTGGTAAGGCAAGGTGGTACCTTACCACCAAACATTGGTAAGGCAAGGTGGTACCTTACCACCAAACATAGTGATGATCCACGTATACTGTTCTGATTACTCCTGAAAGTGTTTACACATGTGCTTATTCTTTTCCTTGTTGGGCTTCCTGGTGGGTAGGGGTGCAGAGTATCAAAGTTTGATTTGATATTCCCGTATGCCTACTTCTGACCACCTCTCCTCAAACTTGTGGGGTAGGCAGCCGGGTACCTGAGTAGGACTGCAGGGCTCGGTAGTTCTTGCTATGATAGGCCCAGACCAGGCTTGTTTAAACTACCCCTTTCTTAGCTTATTTGGCTGGGTCAACTTGTGTGTCCTCAATGGCGACTAGGACACCCCTTATGTCCGCATAAGGGGGGTGTCCTTATGTCTGCAAATTACACATAAGGTTATGCCCCTTGTGTAATTTGATGGTTAATCTGGAAAGCTTCATAGAGAGGTGGAATTTGCAGCTATTTCTCACAACGTGGAATACTAAAAATACTTATACGATGGTATGATGGCTATTATATATGCACTGTCAAACTACAAACTACCCTTTCTTGCACTGAGACAGGAAGTCAGTGACCTGGCAAAAGTTGCCCCATTATTTTCAGGATATTTTCCAGTTTAATTTTGGAACTGGTTCTGTATATACAGTTTAAATGAGAAGCCTATATTCTATGGGTTTATAACCCTACGGGTGGATAGCATCTCTTGCTGAAAAAATGTGATCTTACAATGGGATACTGGCTATCATATTTTCTCAGATTCATCACGTACTTATGCTCCTAAGAACACGACGAATCTTGCGATTTTGTTGTGCATCTACTATTGCCTGACATACATTATAGCTTGAAGTTGTTGCCCCTTGTGTGTTATACAGTGGACTTGAATTTTTCAAAGAAGCAATCTATATTAATATCTTCCAATGTATTCAGTATTAAATATTTTAAGTCTTAAAGGGGGCCCGGTGACGGTGCACCGAAATTTCCTCAATCGTACTCAATATTTTTTTAGTAATATCGTCATAGTAAATGCTCCAACTTTTCCTAATGGATCAACATCATAGAATGAACAGAAAAAAAAGTTAAAAAAAGTAGAAAAATTTAACAAAATATTGTTTGAGTATAGATTACTGTAAAACATTTTTTCAATGTTGCCATCCAAATATGTGAAAAATTTAGACCCCAAAAAATTATAATTAAGTTATGGCTTTGACTAAACGACAAGATCACACTAAAGTGTTCTTGTTGAACTAAGTACTTTGCACATAACATGTAAAAATGGTGAGAATCTGTCAGAAACTGAATTTTTGACAGTCTCAAAATTGGAAATTCTGTTCATAGAGAAAAATGAAGTTAAAATTGTCGACAATGGATATAGTATCTTGAGATGTTAGTCCTGTGGCTCTCACCCTTTATTGGTATGACAGTTAACTTAGTTCTGAGATGAATTTTCTCACTATTCAACATTTTACAAAACAGTTACGTCCTTTTGAAGGTGAAGTCTCCATGCTTTGATATTGTACTCCAGATATGGACACACTAGAGACTTATACTGCTGGATAACCATGTTCTTTTCCTTGAAGTCGAGGGTTCATTTGACAATTCAAACTCCCCTCTTTTTTGCTTTTCTCTCCAGATCCTACTTGACCAACGTTCAGTTACTGGTTGGTCATAACCCCTAGGACCTTTTCTTCATCAATATCCCCTTTTCTTTTCTTCAACAATAATACCACGCAGTCTCCTGCGTGGTATTATTGTTGATATAATAGTTGTGCTGAATAAGAATAATTTTATATAAAAGCACAAATACGAGGGTGAAGAATTAGTAGGTTAGGAATATATATTATATAAAGCCACTAATATGCAGGAGATTTATTTGCAGTTTAATGAGGGCAATACTTAAAACTAAACAAGAAGTAAACTAGCATATTTGAATTGTTAAAGATATTAAGTTAGTAATTCTTAAAAGAATGTGCAAAGCCTGGGGAAGAGTATGTAGCACTGTCACAGGATATTCAAAACGTGCTAAATATTAATTGTAAGACCATTACGAGAACAAAAGTTTACAAAGCGGGTGACAGACATCAAAGGTATCAGATATACCAACGATTCTTTTGAGAGAGAAGGAACCTGAAGGTGCAATATGAAAGCAAGACATACAATCATCTGAAAGTGGACATCCTAGAAGGAGGTGCTCAACTAAGTGGGACGATGCAGTTTGGACAATAAGGAACACTGCATTCCATTCTGTACCCATGAGTTAACTGCATGTGAGCAATATGCAACCTAGCCAGAGCCATTTCCCACCATCTATTACAGTGGGAGGAGTGTAACATCCCATCTCGGAGCTATTTTTAACAACCTTTTCTTACACCGTTATGATACCTGTGTGTATCCACCTCTTTTTATTTATTTATTTATTTATTTATATACAAGAAGGTACATTGGGTTTGTGAGAATACATAGCATGGTATTTACAATCTTGTAAAGCCACTAGTACGCGTAGCATTTTGGGCAGGTCCTTAATCTAACAGATAATTTTAAGTACGTAAATTCTAGCAGAATTAATAAAATGATAACAGATACATTGCAAGAAAAAAATGAAATGAGAGAGATTAGTAGATATATTAAAGCACATTGGTATATTAAAGCTCTGATTGATTGCATTGACAGCTTGATTGGTAATTTAAAAAGAGATTAATAGGCACCATACAGCAAATTGATAGCACATATAAGAAGACAGCAATGATCTCAATGGTAAAGTTGTTTGGATTGGGTACATAAAGATTGGGAGATTGCGTAGCACAAGATACAGTGCAATTTTAAAGCAACAAGGGAGAAAACTATGAAGATGAAATTAGGTACTTTTTAGTTTTGTTTTTGAATGACGCAAAAGTTGGACAGCTTTTCAATTCATTAGGGAGTGAGTTCCATTGACTAGGTCCCTTTATTTACATAGAGTGTTTACACAAAATAAGTTTGACTCTGGGGGTATCAAAGATATATTTATTTCTGGTGTGGTGATAATGGGTCCTATTACATCTGTCCAGGTAGAGTTTCAGAGCAGGATTTGCATTTAAGAACAGGGTTTTGTAAATGTAGTTGACACAAGAGAATGTGTGGAGTGAGATTGTGTTTAGCATATTTAAGGAGTTAAACAAGGGGGCTGAGTGTTGTCATTTTTTTACAAAGATGTTCCTAGTACTTGTACCTGTACTTACACTTATGCTCTTAATTGCCACCACCACTGAATTTATAAGGATCAGAGAACTGTTTCTAATACTGTACTTGTAGAAACTAGATCTTAATAAATCCTTATTGTCATTGAGCTGGGACACCAGATGTTAAATTAGACCAGGTGCCTGATATTCGAGGGAACATAACACTTGTATTCCTTATTCCAATTGTTCCCAGAACGGGGGAAGGAAACAAGGCATGGAACTCTCACTGTGTATTGGCCACGTACGTTATGCCCCTCACTTCACTGTCCCCCTGAATTAATTTCTTTAATTTGTATGTTTCTAATTATTGCATTAGATAGTCCTGGGAGTAAGCTTATACTCGCTACAGTACAAAGTCATAATTAATACGGCAGCTTTCAGGTCTCTGGGTATTTCTTAGTTCTTCTAAAGCTGAATTAATATCTTTAATTTGTATGTTTCTAATAATTGCATTAGATAGTCCAAAGTCATAATCAGTGTTTTCTTTCCAGCAAGCCTCATTGGCCAATCGATCTACAGAGTCATGTTTTCCAGCTCCAACATGGGATGGGATCCACACAAATTTTATACTATAGTTATTATCATTGGCAAAAATTTCATTCCATATAATATTACAAGCTACTTCAGACATACATTGTGATGGGTTATTTAAAGACTGCAGAGCACTTTTAGAGTCAGAATATCACTCCACCACATATAGAACCAAAATCTACACATGGCATAACTAACACCATAATCTATAACAATAAACAAAATTCACTAATTAAAATTTTTAAAGCCAATATTTTCTACTACTCAACAGCTCAATGTGTCCACAACCCGACCGTGGACATTTTCATTCCACCTTTCTAAACAAATATAAAATAATATTTTTAACCTATAAAAAAATACTATTAAAAGTCACTGTTTTAATACAAATTCAGTGGGAATTGTCTTCATCTTTTGCCACATGACATCACTATGCAGAGACTTCCTTTCAACTGAGGACAAACTGTGGCCATTTCTTTCTTCAACAGTCACAGTCACCCCTTAATCCTACCAAAAAGAATAAAAACGAAATTAATAAAGAAATGTTGTAAATTGTCTTCACACAAGAAAACAACTGGAAATTCCTCCCCCACGGGCAGTTGGTGTTGCATGAGATCCATCTTGTAACATATTGCTGCTTGCAGTCAGATGGGGCAAACTGACCAATTGGTATTTTTGATTGGTACAACTGACCAATCAGTTGTACATTCACACCCAACGAGGTCTTGCTCTGTTGGTGAACAGCTACAGGTCGTCAAGATGAGGTTGATTGTTACGACAGGACCAACAGCTGGTCCTAATGCCGCCTTTGCCTCATTATACCAAGCCCTGACGACTTTCCTCGCTAACCCATCATGCCCATGACTGTAGGTCCAAGATACAGGTCTCCCATGTCGTTGGCAGGTCATGCACATTCTAGTGGGAACGTGGTGACCACCTCATTTCTCGTCTTGCTCCCCAAACGGCTTGGGCCCCTCAAGAATCAGGCAGGATCATTGTGCGGTTCCGGCAGCTGTAGCTCAATCCCCCTCGACGTCTTTCTTTGCTCCACTTCCGGTTCCGCATCTACCATGGTTGGTACATGGTTGATTGACAGTTGAGAGGCGGGACCAAAGAACCAAAGCTCAACCCCCGCAAGCACAATTAGGTGAGTACAGACAGGTGGGGGTTCTCAGATGTCGTACAGCAAGTCTTGTAATTTATCCGCGGCCTTCAATTTAATTGCCTTGCTTCCATACATGCCTGACTGAAACTAGGATTCCTATATTGCTTTTACTGTTGGACTGGGATAAACTTGTAAATTTATGAAATAAATTAACTCCATCCCGAGCATACATATCATTCCTTCCATGAGGCGATGTAGATGTAGTTACCCATACCTTGTACAGCCTTTACTCTGCGTTTTGTTGCGCATGATACTTCTCTTGATAATTTCCTCATCTCGTTGGAAATTTCCCCTCGGTATGCCAGCCCTTTGTTTTCTGGTCCCCTTTCTTATGTAGGTTATCCCTACTTTCACAAATGTCAGTGCACTGTCATGGTCGCTCATTCTCACCAGGGCTTCTAATTTAACTTCTCTTACGTCTGTCCCGTTTAGAGTGAATATGAGGACAGGTCAAGTTTAGCCGGCCCTCATTCTTGTGCGTCTCTTGGCATGTTGACAAAGGAAATTTCTTGTTACCACGTCCAATAGTTTATCTCCATGTATCTGTATGTCCAGGATGGGTGGCAGCGGTGCTGAGTTTGGGGTGTGTGTGTGGGCGTGATTTGAAGCGTATATGGGGGTTGAGGGTGTGAGGAAGGTATGAATGTGAAGGGGTTATGAGGTAAGTGGAAGGTATGAGTGAGAGGGGGCGTGTATGGGGGGTTAAGGGTGTGAGGAAGGTGTGAGGTTATGAGTGTGTGTGTGTACTCACCTAATTGTACTCACCTAATTGTGCTTGCGGTGGTTGAGCTCTGGCTCTTTGGTCCCGCCTCTCAACCGTCAATCAACCGGTGTACAGATTCCTGAGCCTACTGGGCTCCATCATATCTACATTTGAAACTGTGTATGGAGTCAGCCTCCACCACATCACTTCCTAGTGCATTCCTTTTACTAACTACTCTAACACTGAAAAAGTTCTTTCTAATGTCTCTGTGGCTCATTTGGGTACTCAGCTTCCACCTGTGTCCCCTTGTTCGCGTCCCTCCAGTGTTCAATAGTTCATCCTTGTTTACCCGGTCGATTCCCCTGAGGATTTTGTAGGTTGTGATCATGTCCCCCCTTACTCTTCTGTCTTCCAGTGTCGTAAGGTGCATTTCCCGCAGCCTTTCCTCATAACTCATGCCTCTTAGTTCTGAGACTAGTCTAGTATCATACCTTTGGACTTTTTCCAGCTTCGTCTTGTGCTTGACAAGGTACGGGCTCCATGCTAGGGCCATGCTGTGTGTGTGTGTGTGTGTGTGTGTGTGTGTGTGTGTGTGTGTGTGTGTGTGTGTGTGTGTGTGTGTGTGTGTGTGTGTGTGTGTGTGTGTGTGTACTCACCTAGTTGTACTCACCTAGTTGTGTCTGCAGGATCGAGCATTGACTCTTGGATCCCGCCTTTCGAGCATCGGTTGTTTACAGCAATGACTCCTGTCCCATTTCCCTATCATACCTGGTTTTAAAATTATGAATAGTATTTGCTTCCACAACCTGTTCCTGAAGTGCATTCCATTTCCCCACTACTCTCACGCTAAAAGAAAACTTCCTAACATCTCTGTGACTCATCTGAGTTTCAAGCTTCCATCCATGTCCTCTCGTTCTGTTACTATTCCGTGTGAACATTTCGTCTATGTCCACTCTGTCAATTCCTCTGAGTATCTTATACGTTCCTATCATGTCCCCCCTCTCCCTTCTTCTTTCTAGTGTCGTAAGGCACAGTTCCCTCAGGCGCTCTTCATACCCCATCCCTCGTAGCTCTGGGACGAGTCTCGTTGCAAACCTCTGAACCTTTTCCAGTTTCATTATATGCTTCTTCAGATGGGGACTCCATGATGAGGCGGCATACTCTAAGACTGGCCTTACGTAGGCAGTGTAAAGCGCCCTAAATGCCTCCTTACTTAGGTTTCTGAATGATGTTCTAACTTTTGCCAGTGTAGAGTACGCTGCTGTCGTTATCCTATTAATATGTGCCTCAGGAGATAGATTAGGTGTTACGTCCACCCCCAGGTCTCTTTCACGCGTCGTTACAGGTAGGCTGTTCCCCTTCATTGTGTACTGTCCCTTTGGTCTCCTATCTCCTAGTCCCATTTCCATAACTTTACATTTGCTCGTGTTGAATTCTAGTAGCCATTTCTCTGACCATCTCTGCAATCTGTTCAGGTCCTCTTGGAGGATCCTGCAATCTGTTCAGGTCCTCTTGGAGGATCCTGCAATCCTCATCTGTCACAACTCTTCTCATCAACTTTGCATCATCCGCAAACATCGACATGTAGGACTCTACGCCTGTAAACATGTCGTTAACATATACAAGAAATAGAATTGGTCCCAGCACCGATCCTTGTGGTACTCCACTTGTTACTGTTCGCCAGTCCGACTTCTCGCCCCTTACCGTAACTCTTTGGCTCCTTCCTGTTAGGTAGTTTCTTATCCATTCTAGGACCTTTCCCCCCACCCCCGCCTGCCTCTCGAGCTTGAACAGCAGTCTCATGTGCGGTACTGTATCAAAGGCTTTTTGGCAGTCCAGAAATATGCAGTCTGCCCAACCATCTCTGTCCTGTCTTATCCTCGTTATTTTATCATAGAATTCCAGAAAATGTGTGTGTGTGTGTGTGTGTGTGTGTGTGTGTGTGTACTCACCTAGTTGTGCTTGCGGGGGTTGAGCTCTGGCTCTTTGGTCCCGCCTCTCAACCGTCAATCAACTGGTGTACAGGTTCCTGAGCCTATTGGGCTCTATCATATCTACACTTGAAACTGTGTATGGAGTCAGCCTCCACCACATCACTGCCTAATGCATTCCATTTGTCAACCACTCTGACACTAAAAAAATTCTTTCTAATATCTCTGTGGCTCATATGGGCATTCAGTTTCCACCGTGTCCCCTAGTGCGTGTGCCCCTTGTGCTAATAGCCTGTCTTTATCTACCCTGTCAATTTCTCTGATAATCTTGTACGTGGTGATCATATCCCCCCTAACTCTTCTGTCTTCTAGCGACGTGAGGTTTAATTCCCGTAGTCTCTCCTCGTAGCTCATACCTCTCAGCTCGGGTACTAGTCTGGTGGCAAACCTCTGAACTTTTTCCAGTTTAGTCTTATGCTTAACTAGATATGGACTCCATGCTGGTGCTGCGTACTCCAGGATTGGTCTGACATAGGTGGTATACAAAGTTCTGAATGATTCCTTGCACAAGTGTCTAAATGCCGTTCTTATGTTAGCCTGCCTGGCATATGCTGCTGATGTTATCCTCTTAATATGGGCTTCAGGGGACAGGTCTGGCGTGATATCAACCCCCCAGGTCTTTCTCTCTCTCTCTGACTCTTGAAGAATTTCATCTCCCAAATGATACCTTGTAACTGGCCTCCTGCTCCCTACATCTATCTTCATTACATTACATTTGCTTGGGTTAAACTCTAACAACCATTTGTTCGACCATTCCTTTAGTTTGTCTAGGTTGTGTTTGAGGTTGGGTCAAACTTTGAGGTTGGTTTGAGGTTTGAGTCAAACTAAGTTGTCCAGTTTGAGTGTGAGGTTATGTGTGTATGTGTGATGTGAGGTGTGTTTGGGGGGTTGAGGGTGTGAGGCAGGTATGAGTGTGAGGTTATGAGTGTGTGTGTGTGTGATGTGAGGTGTGTTTGGGGGGTTGAGGGTGTGAGGCGGGTATGAGTGTGAGGTTATGAGTGTGTGTGTGTGTGATGTGAGGTGTGTTTGGGGGGTTGAGGGTGTGAGGCAGGTATGAGTGTGAGGTTATGAGTGTGTGTGTGTGTGATGTGAGGTGTGTTTGGGGGGTTGAGGGTGTGAGACAGGTATGAGTGTGAGGTTATGAGTGTGTGTGTGTGTGATGTGAGGTGTGTTTGGAGTGTTGAGGGTGTGAGGCAGGTATGAGTGTGAGGTTATGAGTGTGTGTGTGTGTGTGATGTGAGGCGTGTTTGGGGGGTTGAGGGTGTGAGGCAGGTATGAGTGTGAGGTTATGTGTGTGTGTGCGTGGTGTGAGGTGTGTTTGGGGGGGTTGAGGGTGTGAGGCAAGTATGAGTGTGAGGTTATGAGTGTGTGTGTGTGTGGTGCGGGCGGCGCGCGTCACTTGGCGTGGTGGCGGTGGAGGCCGGGAGGAGGAGAGCGGTGTGGCTGTGTTTCCCGCCAGTGTGGTGTTGAGAGTGCACGGGAGCAGGAGCGGGAGACCACAGCCAGCCGCAGCCTCACAATGAGCGACCACGAGGATGAGCACACCATCGCCGAGGACTTGGTGGTGACCAAGTACAAGATGGCCGGCGAGATCGTGAACCGTGAGTGTCGAGGAGAGCCCCGCTGGCCCTCACAGGCCCTCACTGCTGCTCCCCCGCTCTGCCGGGTCTCCATGTTTGATGGTAGCTCGTGGCAGCAGACCTGGCCCGTGTTTACCATGTGTTGCTGCTCCTCCCCCCACACTTGCCGCCTCCCCTCTGTCCTCGCTTCTTCCTCGCCCCCTCTCATTCACTCCTCGCTTTCCCCTCCCTCTCTTCCCTCAGGGACACATGGTGAGGGCCCGCCAGGGGTCACCAGGTCGGGTCAGCTGCTGGTCCAGCTGACCCCCAAGGCTGGCCCTGCTCTTGGGGTCGCCTCCCTCGCCCGCTGCACCTCACACCACCGACTGTTTTTATTGATCAAAGAGGGAGTAGGAGGGGTAAATGCGGGTGTTTGTGGCTGGTGGGGGGGTATCCTTTTTTTGTGTGAAAATGACCCGGTGCAGGTGTTTGTGAGGGGGAGGCATCCTGGTGCAGGTGTATGCGAGGGGGAGGCATCCTGGTGCAGGTGTTTGTGAGGGGGAGGCATGCTGGTGCAGGTGTTTGCGAGGGGGAGGCATCCTGGTGCAGGTGTTTGCGAGGGGGAGGCATCCTGGTGCAGGTGTTTGTGAGGGGGAGGCATCCTGGTGCAGGTGTATGCGAGGGGGAGGCATCCTGGTGCAGGTGTTTGTGAGGGGGAGGCATCCTGGTGCAGGTGTATGCGAGGGGGAGGCATCCTGGTGCAGGTGTTTGTGAGGGGGAGGCATCCTGGTGCAGGTGTTTGTGAGGGGGAGGCATCCTGGTGCAGGTGTTTGCGAGGGGGAGGCATGCTGGTGCAGGTGTTTGTGAGGGGGAGGCATCCTGGTGCAGGTGTTTGTGAGGGGGAGGCATCCTGGTGCAGGTGTTTGCGAGGGGGAGGCATGCTGGTGCAGGTGTTTGTGAGGGGGAGGCATCCTGGTGCAGGTGTTTGCAAGGGGGAGGCATCCTGGTGCAGGTGTTTGTGAGGGGGAGGCATCCTGGTGCAGGTGTTTGTGAGGGGGAGGCATCCTGGTGCAGGTGTTTTTGAGGGGAGGCATCCTGGTGCAGGTGTTTTTGAGGGGGAGGCATCCTGGTGCAGGTGTTTGCGAGGGGGAGGCATCCTGGTGCAGGTGTTTGTGAGGGGGAGGCATCCTGGTGCAGGTGTATGCGAGGGGGAGGCATCCTGGTGCAGGTGTTTGTGAGGGGGAGGCATCCTGGTGCAGGTGTTTGCGAGGGGGAGGCATCCTGGTGCAGGTGTTTGCGAGGGGGAGGCATCCTATCTTGAGATATATCTTGAGATGATTTCGGGGCTTTAGTGTCCCCGCGGCCCGGTCCTCGACCAGGCCTCCACCCCCAGGAAGCAGCCCGTGACAGCTGACTTAACTCCCAGGTACCTATTTACTGCTAGGTAACAGGGGCATTCAGGGTGAAAGAAACTTTGCCCATTTGTTTCTGCCTCGTGCGGGAATCGAACCCGCGCCACAGAATTACGAGTCCTGCGCGCTATCCACCAGGCTACGAGGCTCCTGGTGCAGGTGTTTGTGAGGGGGAGGCATCCTGGTGCAGGTGTTTGTGAGGGGGAGGCATCCTGGTGCAGGTGTTTGTGAGGGGGAGGCATCCTGGTGCAGGTGTTTGTGAAGCATCCTAGGAGTCCCAGGACTCCACCATTGCAGGTGGAGTCCTGGGACTTCGGTTGTATTTAACAGAGGTCCCAGGATTAGTATAATGGATTGAAGTAGGATTAGGAGCAATATTTGCAAATTTGCTGTTATGCTTTCAAAATGGACCAAAATTTGCAGATGCAGTTTAATCCTGACAAATGTAGGGTTCTAAGACTAGCTAATGATAAGTTATCCGATATCATCCAGTCACTTTCCTAAGTTGCGAAATCTGATCCTAATAAATTGGGGTCTTGAGCCAAAAAATCAGGGTACTGTACAGTATACCGTCCAAAATTAAGATATCGCTGTAGACTTTCATGAATTCTGGATTTCTGAAGTACAATATTGCAATTGTTTAGCTATATCCAGTTATATTTTTAATACATTTTCCTTCATATAACTATTTGGTGGCAAGTAAATATTTGTAATAAGGTATAATTTTTACATTTTTGTAATACAGGCTGGTTTACAGTGCAGAAGATATGCAGTTATGGTACTATACAGAATATTACTAAGCCTCTTCTTGTTGTACTGTTATAATGTGAAAATAACGCTGCCACCAGATGTGACACTGCCACAAGATAAGACATACTGTAATAATTTAGAATTTGAGAACAGTGAAATGGGTCACCACCACCTGTAACTGAGAACATTACATACCAGTCTACACACACCAGAAGTCAGCCTCATGATCTCCATACACTAACTGCATATTTAACATTACATAAGAACAAAGGTAACTGCAGAAGGCCTATTGGCCCATACGAGGCAGCTCCTATTTATAACCACAAAATACCACTCATATACATGTCCAACTCATGCTTGAAACAATTGAGGGACCCCACCTCCACCACGTAACGTGGTAATTGGTTCCACAAATCAACAACCCTGTTATCGAACCAGTATTTACCAAAGTCTTTCCTAAATCTAAACTTACCCAATTTATACCCATTGTTTCGTGTTCTGTCTGGTGTTAATACTTTTAATACCCAATCAATATCTCCTTTGTTATGTCCATTCATCCACTTGTAAACCTCTCATGTCCCCTAATTCTTTGCCTTTCCAGTGAATGCAGTTTAAGCTTTGTTTATCTTCATTTGAAAGATTTCTAATTTGTGGAATTAATTTAGTCATCCTACGCTGAACATGTTCAAGTGAATTTATTTCCATTCTTTAGTATGGCGACCAAAACTGAACTGCATAATCTAAATGGGGCCCTAACCAGAGCAAGATATAGCTGAAAAACACCACCAGGTGTCTTGTTACTAACGCTTCGATTAATAAATCCCAGTGTCCTATTTGCCTTATTATGAACATTTATGCACTGAGCTTTTGGTTTTAAATTCTTACTAATCATAACTCCCAGATCCCTGTCGCAATCCGACTTCGCAATATCAACACCATCTAGCTCGTATCTTGTAACTATCATTATTACCTAGCCTCAGAACTTTACATTTATCAGCATTAAACTGCATCTGCCAATCATTTGACCATTTCAAATCCCTGTTTAGATCAACTTGAAGTGATAGTCTTCTTCCGTGTTAATTTCCCTACCGATTTTTTTATCATCGGCAAATTTGCAAATGTTGCTACTCAAACCTGAATCTAAATCATTTATATATACTGTATTATAAACAACAGAGGTCCCAATACACAGCCTTGAGGCACTCCACTTACAACATTTTCCCACTCTGACTTGACTCCATTTATACTGTTTCCTTTGGTATAGTCATGCCCTAATCCGTCTTAATATAGCACCCCCAATACCATGAGCCTCTATCTTTTTAATCAGTCTTTCATGTGGCACTGTATCAAAAGCTTTGCTAAAGTCAAGGTACACAACATCGCAAACCTTACCACTACCAACTGCCTCAACTATGCTGGAATAAAAAGATAGCAAATTTGTTACACATGAACGGCCATTTGTAAAACCATGTTGTGACTCGTTTATTAATTTTGTTTTTCAAGATGAAAGCGTATTTGCAATTATAGATTCAAATAAATTTCCCACAATAGACGTTAGGCTAATTGGCCGATAGTTTGATGCAAGTGATCTATCTCCTTTCTTAAAAATTGGTACCACATTAGCAACCTTCCACGACTCTGGCACTCTGCCTGACTCGTGATTTAATAAATATGGTAGACAATGGATAAGAACATAAGAACATAAGAACATAAGAACAAAGGTAACTGCAGAAGGCCTATTGGCCCATACGAGGCAGCTCCTATTCTATAACCACCCAATCCCACTCATATACTTGTCCAACCCGTGCTTGAAACAATCGAGGGACCCCACCTCCACAATGTTACGCGGCAATTGGTTCCACAAATCAACAACCCTGTTACTGAACCAGTATTTACCCAAGTCTTTCCTAAATCTAAACTTATCCAATTTATATCCATTGTTTCGTGTTCTGTCCTGTGTTGATACTTTTAATACCCTATTAATATCCCCACGGTTATGTCCATTCATCCACTTGTAAACCTCTATCATGTCACCCCTAACTCTTCGCCTTTCCAGTGAATGCAACTTAAGCTTTGTTAATCTTTCTTCATATGAAAGATTTCTAATTTGGGGAATTAACTTAGTCATCCTACGCTGGACACGTTCAAGTGAATTTATATCCATTCTATAATATGGCGACCAAAACTGAACTGCATAATCTAAATGGGGCCTAACTAGAGCAAGATATAGCTTGAGAACCACACCAGGTGTCTTGTTACTAACGCTGCGATTAATAAATCCAAGTGTCCGATTTGCCTTATTACGAACATTTATGCATTGATCCTTTTGTTTTAAATTCTTACTAATCATAACTCCCAGATCCCTTTCGCAATCCGACTTCGCAATCACAACACCATCTAGCTCGTATCTTGTAACTCTATCATCATTACCTAACCTCAGAACTTTACATTTATCAGCATTAAACTGCATCTGCCAATCCTTTGACCATTTCAAAACCCTATCTAGATCAACTTGAAGTGATAGTGAGTCCTCCTCCGAATTAATTTCCCTACCGATTTTCGTATCATCGGCAAATTTGCAAATGTTGCTACTCAAACCTGAATCTAAATCATTTATATATATTATAAACAACAGAGGTCCCAGGACAGAGCCTTGAGGCACTCCACTTACAACATTTTCCCACTCTGACTTGATTCCATTTATACTAACTCTCTGTTTCCTTTGGTATAGCCATGCCCTAATCCAGCTTAATATAGCACCCCCAATACCATGAGACTCTATTTTTTTAATCAGTCTTTCATGTGGCACTGTATCAAAAGCTTTGCTAAAGTCAAGGTATACAACATCGCAATCCTTACCACTATCAACTGCCTCAACAA